GGCTTCCTATCACTCCCTCTTGAGGCTCAATCACTTGCTAGAATGGCTCACAGAAATCAGGAAAACACATTAACCAGTTTATTATAAAGGATATTACAAAGGATACAAATGAGCAGCCACATGAACAGGTACAAAAGGAAAGGTATGTGAGAAGGGATGCTTCCATGTCCTTGCTGGGTGTGCCACCTGCCCAGCACTTTCGTGTGTTTGGCAACATGAAAGCTTTCCAAGCCTTGATCTTTTGGGTTTTTATGGAGTCTTCATTATATTGGGCTGATGGATCACATCATTGTCTATTGCTGATCAACTCAACCTTCAGCCTCTCTCCCCTCCCCAGAGGTCAGGGGGTGAGACTGAAAGTTCCAACTCTAATCACAAAGTGGTTCCCTTGGCAACCAGCCCCCATTCTGAGGCTATCCCAGAGCCCTTAGCCATAAGTCATTTCATTAACATACAGAAAGACGCTTATCACTTTGGCAATTCCAAGGGTTTTAGGAGTTCTGTGCCAAGAACTGGATGAAGGTCAAACATGTATTTCTTATTATAAATCACAATATTTCACAGGGATAGTAAAAATTACCATGCAATCTGAAACTGTGCAAAACAGTCTTAATAATCAATGGGAAACATTATGATTGTTCTTACAAAAGGTCTTTTAAACCTTTTGTCCAAGCATTAAATACTGTTAATGTAGTTTACAAATATATAGGAAAATGAAAAAACTGGTAAAACTAATAGTTTTTTTTGTATATGGTAATATTAAACATTAGAAACATTGAGAATTAAGGCTTATTTTAATTAAAAAAAAAACATATCAAGGTTAGGTTGAACAATGCTTGCCTTCTTTTCATGATATGTTGTTAAACAGTGTGAACATCTTTTCTGTGCATTAGTGAATTGTCATTTTCCTTTTAAGTTTAGATCCACTTCCAAATTTTATCTTTTGTGCTTTCAGTGTCATGAGGTATCTCTGAAAGTTCCTTTAATGTGAGGTTTATTGCCAGCAACTTCCTCTGGGACATCTTCGTTCTTTTCATCACATTTTCCTCATTTATGTATATAATTTTGCCTTCACTAAGTCCTCTGGAAGCTTATCTAGAGTCTTTCTAGTAGTAGCAGTGTCAGCATTTCCATGGGCAGCAATTTTTTCTATTATTCCATTTACATTAGATTCAAATTTATTTTGTACAATATGCTTGTATTAGGGTTCTCATAGGGGAACAGAACTAATAGGAGATATATATATATATGTGTGTGTGTGTGTGTGTATACACATATATATAAGCTTATTAAGTATTAACACGATCACAAGGTCCCACAGTAGGCTGTCAGCAAGCTGAGGAGCAAGGAAGCCAGTCCTAGTCCCCAAACTGAAGAACTTGGAGTTTGATGTTTGAAGACAGGAAGCATCTAGCACTGGAGAAAAATGTAGGCTGGGAAGCTAGGCCCATCTCACCTTTTCACATTTTTCTGCCTGCTTTACATTCGCTGGAAGCTGATTAGATTGTTCCCACCAGATTAAGGGTGGATCTGCCTTCCCCAGCCCACTGACTCAAATGTTAATTTATTTTGGCAACACCCACACAGACACACCCAGGATTTATACTTTGTATCCCTCAGTCCAATCAAGTTCACATTCAGTATTAACCATCACAGTACTAAAAGTTTATTCTATGCTGTATGCATATTACCTATTGTTACTTTCTGCCATGATGCTTGAATGTTTTAAACTGTATATTTCATGTTATATTTCATCTAGAACACAGGTCAAGAAACTGCATGATCACCAGTTGTAGCATGAATAGCCTATTCAAAAGTCTGTGTAAGATAATACACTTTAAAAGTTGAAATAACTCCTTGGTCTATAGGCTGGATTAATGACGTTTTCCTTGGTGATATAAAACAAATTTTCACATTTTAATTTCAATCTCCAAGAGAACTAGGGTGACCAAGAGCATTATCCAATAGTTGTAGTGCTTTAATGGTTAAATTATTTGGTGTGTAGTATCTGTCTACTGCTGGGAGACAGGAAGGCAACACATATTTTGCTGTCTGTGTTGCCAAATAACAGATGGGCAATGACCAATCCTTGACAGACTTTGAAGGAAGTGATGTGACCGGTTACTGATCACAATGTGCATCTATTATTCACATTGTGATATGTGGACTGAAGAAACTGAGATGCAGTTACTCAGTTAAGGTAACTGAAATTTGAGCCAGGTTGTTGGGAGACTAATGTTGTTTAATAAAACATGACAACTGAAATGTGCACACATTGGAATTGTGCAAGGTGACAACCACCAAGACTAACTTCAATACATGTTTTTATAAAAAAGAAAAAAGAGAGAGAAACCTTAATCATATAATTTTCATTAAATACCTTCTCTAACTTCTGCCTCTGAACATAAATCTGTAATTTTTATTTTAAAAAATTCCTAGTATTTATGACTCCCTGCTGAGTACACAACCCCAAACTATTGATAGAGACTTTTATGCAATTCTAAAAAATTTATTGACTGCATTATATATGTAAGACCCAGTACTAGACTTCTTTTTTTTTTTTTTTTTTTTTTTTTTTTTGAGAAACAAACTCTGTTACAAGATCTCTCACATATATGGATTCCTGCCCCCGCAAACACACATCCACAGAGTAACACAGTTGTGTACACTTGGCATCCCAGGAACATAACCATCCCTGCATACGAGGGGCCTCAAAGGATGTTGAAACAAATTTAACCAGTTTACTGATAATAAGAGGAAAAAATGTACTGAACATATATTTTATGACAGGTGCTGTGCTATGTTCTTAACATTTCATTTTAGAGCAACTGCACAAGGCAGGCATTATTAGTATCCTCACTGTAAGTATAAAGAATCACTGGCTTAGAGAGAATTTCTATGATTTGTCAATATAAAAGGAAAACTTTTTACTTAAGCAACACTTTCCTAAGAGCTGTTACTCAAAATTGAATGCTGTGTTTCACCACAACTGGTTCTAACCAGCTGAATCTGTTAACATGATGAAGTTTGAATGACCCTGGTTAGAATCAGACTGGTCCTAATTGCATTAGATTTTCTCCTGACCCATGGGCAATAGTACTTGATTTGCATAGCTGCACACAGACTTGTGCACTCATCCCACCTTCTCCATAATGCAAATTTTCAACCCTTAGTGAGTATAATCATCATGACCCACTATCACTAGCCCTCCTTTTGTCACTGTTTTTTTTCCCCTCAGCGTGCTACTCAGTGAATTTCTTCCCTCATGTATTCCCTTGCCTGTCAGATAAATAAAATCTGCTTTGTTTTTTGAGCTGTGGTGGTCTGTGTTTAATTTATTGATACCCAAGATAATACAGTTAGTAAGTTACAAAGCTGGAACACGAATCCATTCTTACTGACTTCAACCCATATGCTTAATTTCTGTGTTCAATTGTTAAATAAATAATAGAAGGAAACTGCATTCAAGCTAACTAGTTTTAACATAAAAAAAGGATGCTGACCAGGTACAGTGGCTCACGCCTGTAATGCCAGCACTTTGGGAGGCTGAGGATTACTTGAGGTCAGGAGTTTGAGACCAGCCTGGCTAACATGGTGAAACCCCATCTCTACTAAAAATACATAAATTAGCCTGGTGTGGTGGCAGGAGCCTGTAATCCCAGTTACTCGGGAGGCTGAGACAGGAGCATCACTTGAACCCAGGAAGTGGAGGTTGCAGTGAGCTGAGATTGTGCCACTGCATTCTAGCCTGGACGACAGAACAAGATTCTGTCTCAACAACAACAGCAAAAAAAAAGGATGCTAATTCTACAAACTTACTCCACCTAACTCAAATTCATTTTTCCCTTTACATTGGTAGAATCTTCACCCCTGGGGGTTCCTTCCTATTATAATAATATAATAGGAATAGTAAGAACAGTGTAGTAATAATTTCAACAACACCAACACCAGCTGCAATGTATCTGGTGCTTACTCTGCGCCAGGCCCTTTTTTCCCAGCTATCTCAAACTGGGCATTGAAGTGTCTTGTTGCCTTGTGATAACTTCAATGTACATCCATACGATTCCTTTCTGTAGATGTGGAGTAAAGCCAGCTAAGTATGGACTGGTCGGGATTGTGACAAACTGGAGGCAAACTGAAGAACTGTGCCCATTTGAAGGCAGCAACTATTAATCCACTTCCATTACTCGTCATGGAAGAATACAGACCCAGTATTGACAGATCTTTCTCTTTTTCAAGAGGCATCAAAAATCTGGGTCATTATGTAAAATTTTAAATACTTAAATAATTTAACACTTTCTAAAATACCACTGTATAAATCAAACAAAACACATCTGCAGGCTGAAATGAGCCCTGTCCATAGAACCTGCTAAGAGGCAGGATAATACAGTGAATCTCTACTGTCTGCATTTAATTCCCAGGGTTATTTTGTGTGACCTTGAAGAAGTTAGCCCCTTTAAGCTTCAACTTTCTTATGTGTAGAATGGGCTTTAAAATATTACACATCTTAAGGAGTTTTTATGAGGAATTGTTTTTTTTTTCTTTACTCTCTAAAATGCTTAATAAAATGCCTAACATTTTATCAATGTTTTTCTTTTTATTGTTTCTCCCAACTCAGTCATCCCCTGGTCCTGCCTTCTCTATCCTTCTCCTTACCCCATGACAGTTATATTCACTTGTTCCAAGGATACACACTCTGAACATCTGGCTACAAAGAACACCTAAGTTGTAAACAAATGAAAAATTATTTTGTTGTTTTCAATGGCTATTAAATAACAGATAAATTTAGAAAGGGAAAAAATAAACTATATTTATTTTACCAAGTTAAACCACTTATTTGATGGTATTAAATCATTTGAACTGGTAAATTAATTTATATAATATTATGTTGTCAACACATGAATAATTTTTATTTTGGTGAATTTGGGATATGTGGCTTTTTCAGAACGTTTTGCCATCTAAACTTTTAAAATGTCTAACTAATGTATTTAACTTTTCAGTTTATCTTTATTAGAAGAATTTGACTGTAGCTGTAATGAACTGGAGTCATTACCTTCTACTATTGGCTACCTTCATAGTCTTCGGACATTAGCAGTTGATGAGAATTTCCTTCCAGAATTACCCAGAGAAGTGAGAAATATACTTGTTTTCCATTTATTAACTTTTAATTAATCTGTTTTGGAATAAAATCTTAATGGGTAGAATAGCAGTGTAGATTCATGAGTTGAGCTGTGAATAATATTGGAATTATCTACATATATATTTGCTAATTATTCTATTTTAAATGGCAAGTTCTTATATTTGACCCAGAAAATGCATTTGACTTAAATCTCACATGCAAATAAAAGTAAGAAAATATAAGTCAATTCATGCTAAGAAATATCATTTAAAGTCACTTAATTTCTATCTTTTGGTTTTCAGAATAGTTATAAATAATATTTTGGAGTAATTACATTTTTATTTCTGTAGCAAACTTTTTAAGTGTACATATGCTTTTTAAGGTATCATGTTGCATTATAATATTAGTTTAACTTCCGAATCCACCAAGAGATTCTGTTAATTTTTACATCTAAGTGGTATTTTACTTACTAATATCAAAAAACTATGAAGTATATATTTTTAATTTACTTTGTGCTCAAGTTTGCTGTATGTGAAGTACATTTTCAATTGAGCATTTTCTACTAAACACTCTTATGATGATACAACAATAAACAATACATAATTATTTTAGAGCCAAAATATGTTATTAAAAATAACAAAAAACACTGTAATGTGAAGCAAAACTAAGTTTGCCTAGGAAATGTCAATATTGTATTTTTTGAGTGTGTATGATCTTCTGTTATAAACAAAGATGTATTAGTACTCACTTCGACAGACAAAATTATATGATATATGAAAACACTAATGTTAGCAAGTATTTTAAGCATAAAATTATAAAGAAAATTCTTCATTTTTAATATGTAAAAGAAAATCTAGTATAAATTGCCTTAATATCTAAAAGAATTTATATAATATACATATATTTTAAAGAGATACATTATAAAAATAAAACAATGCACATATTAAAAGAAAGTTAAAAATAAGAAAATCTATTACTTAAATTGTTTTAAAAATTAGAAATTTTAATATTAAAAATAGTATTGTGCTCTGATTTTTTTAACCTATTTTATTTTGTTACCTACAGATTGGAAGTTGTAAGAATGTAACAGTCATGTCTCTACGCTCCAACAAATTAGAATTTCTTCCTGAAGAGATTGGACAGATGCAGAAACTAAGAGTCTTAAATTTGAGTGACAACAGGTATTTTTACAACATTTCACAATCATATATTAGTTATTTGCTGAAAGCAAATTATAGTTTTTTTGCCTATAGTTTTGATAACATTTTCTGCCTTTCATAGTATATGGAATACAAATACTGATACTTTCTTTAAAATAGCAGAAGGTAAATTATTTTTTAAACCAGGTATTTCAAAATTATGTTATTTGATTATATCAAAAGCATATGTAATGTATTAAAATTATATAAATATGAATCACACAAATTTATACACAAAAGACTTCCCATATGCAGAAAGCATAATAATATGAAGACATGGAAAATAACTATAATAAAAATATATAAAATATATTAATAAAAATGTGCATATGTATGTATGTATGTATGCACACATACGTGTTTTCATGTCCATATTTTGGTCTCCAACAAATTAACTGGGCAATGTGTATATTTTCAATTCCATCAAAGTGCTAGTAAGAATACTGACAATGAAATGGCTATTTAGTCATGTTTAGAGCAGGATGAACAAGGAAAGGATAGATCCTTTACTTCTAATAATGGCATTATATTGATAGATGAGTAAAAAGAAAAAGTGCAAACCTCAATTCGTCTTTGTTTCCACCTACTCTATAAAAGATAATTATCCTCAAATAGGAAAGGATAAAAACAAATATTGACTAGAGATAACTGCTAAGAAAATAAAATGATCACTATGTTTTCAATAAGTTTCAGCCAGACAATTGATAATACAAGGGACTGAGAGAACTTGCAATGAAATGATCAAAGATTAGCTTTTATGGAATCACAAGAATAATCAGATTTTGGAAGTTTCAGGATAAGCATTGGAATTCTCATTTTTTTCTTAGTTTAAGGAAAAATGTGAATTTCAAAGCTTCACTTACTGGTTAATAATATTCCCACATAAGGGAATAAAACATTTTATTAAAAAGTTTGGAATTTTATTTATAGTGTCGGGGGCAAGGAAGCACCAAAGCTTTATGCATCAGAGCAAGTCACGTCAAACCAACCTTGCTTTCTCTTCCGACTGTGTTACTATCCTGGAAAAATGAGGAAAATGCATTGAAAGTTGTTTCTGACTTTTGGCAAGACATTTTTAAAAATCTCTAATTATATTCGTATAAATAAGATTAGGAAATTCTTGGTATTATGAATGAAAATAATTCATTCATAATATGCAGAATATACTTAGCAAATATTGTCAATGATCAATAATTAGAAGTTCTATTAATACTTTGAACATACTTATTCAACAACTGTAGCAGACTTGAGTTCACCGACAATGAGCCAGACACACTGCTAGGTGCTGGGGCAAAATTTATGAATAATACATAGAGGAGCTCACAATATCAGAAGTTTAAAATAACTTCATCAGGACAGAAATATAAGCTTAAGTTATGTCCTAGTACAGTTGCTGGAACATACTCTGGAGCCAAGTTAGTATTTTTAAATTAATAAATCAATCAGTAAATCAAGCAGAGGTGAAAATCAATATTCAGCTAAAGTTAAGGCCAAAGTTAAATATTACCACCAGAGAAGGAACTGTTTGGAGAAAAGATTAAATAAGAAATGTCATCCAAAAGTAATGATTATTATAATTTCATATTTAAAATGTAATAGATTTTTAAAGTTTGACATTGTAGTTAGGAGCAGTGATTCCTCTGCCTTGTCAGCTGCAAGATCGCTCCTGTTGTCAATGTACTGCACATTTATGTTACCAAATAAGAGCTCACTTGAAATAGAGATCACTGGAAAAGGAAAGAAAAACAAGGGTACCTTGTCTTTTTCTAGCAGTTCCTTCATATTCTACATTTATGACTGGATTGATGATGATATTATGGATGTTGTTTACATGATTCTGGATAGTTTTGAACTCATGTAATTTCAGTGCAGGAGAATTGACATTCTGCTTTTAATGTAGCCCATACAATGTAAGAAACTCTCCCAATAAGATCTTACTTCACAATTTCTGGCTTGAGTGAATTGAAATAACTTTTAGTTAGGAATAACTTTTATGGGTAATTTGGCTTGAAGTTATAAATGTTACTGTAACAATTATATAAAAAAGACTTGTGATATAATTTAATAACAGTTATTCTTCATATTCATGTTCATATTTTATAAATATTTATTAGCTCAGAAAGGTTATTATATTTTTTCTAAAGTTATATAATGCACAGTTTTAATATTTTTATTGCCTTTCAATCTCTTTTCATATTTATTAGATTTTTAAGAAGTGTTTAACTGCTTTTGCACATAAACTATAAAATTAATTTTTAATTACTGTAAGATTGCCCACTTCCATTATCAAAATAAATTTATTTGTCTACTGGCTGACAGAATGCTAATACATTAAAGACAAGAAAATTTTCCTTCTATATTATATCTAAAATGTTTATCTGTATTCAAAAGTGAATATCCAGAAGTTAGTAATAAGTCTCATTGGCATGCCTTGTTTGTACTACTTGCTTTGCTAGCTAGCTTTGATGGTAACCCATGTGATCACAATGTGTTGATCATGCACAATTTGAAGGATATCAGATAGTGTGAAGTATTTTGGCCCTCCAAAGGCTGAAGCCAAAGCTAAATATATAATTTTGATTGAATACCAAGGCTAATATCAAGCTATACATCTTAGAAGTGCTAATTTTTTAAAGATTACCCCCTTTGAATATCTACTACACATTGCATGAAGGTCAAAAGAACATTCTTGCTGAAGGTCAACATACTATTGGGACCTGTACGTTCCTTTAGAAGTAAAACAAGCATGGCCCTTTGCCCTTATGGAGCCTACAGTTTTGGAGGGATAGCAAAGAGTAAGCAAATTATCACAAAAATAAATGTGTAATTAAAAACTGCAATGTGTTCCATGAAGGAAAATACAAGGTGCTTTGAAACCAGATTGAGGGAAGTAATTTAAATTAGGAGTCAAGAAAAGCCTCTTTGAGAGGACGGTATTTAAGCTAAGAATGAATGGATATGTGGGGTTCAGTAAAGTGAAGTATGGGAGAGAGTGTTCCAGAGAAAAAAGCAGGCTGATAGAGCCAGTTGTCCTGATGGGACTGAGTCAGGAAAAGAGTTGCAGATAAATTTCTGGAGGGTTTTTTAGGGGCCAGACCTTTTAAGCTCTAACCATACATGTTAACCATTTTTTATTTTTATTCAGATATAATGGAAGTATTTGAAGGGTTGTAAATAGGATATTTTCATTTTTTAAAATATTGTTCAGGCTGCTCAGTGGAAAATGGATTTGAGAAAAGAATGAAACCAACAAGTTAGAGTATGTTAAATCATTCTTAGAAATGAACTTTTATCCATCTTTACCCATGCTATTAGACTTTTTGTGTTTTTTCAGATTGAAGAATTTACCATTCTCATTTACCAAACTTAAAGAGCTTGCAGCTTTGTGGCTTTCTGACAATCAGGTAAAAGGTTTTATTGCCTGATTTGTTTATTAAGATGAACTATAATTGAAAATTTGAATTACTAATTTATTCCCCATAGATACGTTTGACAGCCACTACAAAATGTAGGTTGTTTTTGTCCCCTGAAAGAGAGATTTTTGTAAAGATAGCAATTCAAACATTGCTGAAGTCAAAACAGTACTGTAAGCCCCACCCTCCTTAAATACTTCTATTTAACATCTACTTCATTCTCTGAGATCTAATACACAAAACGATCATTTTTATAGCTTTTTAACCTCTAGGTGGTACATGTATGTCCTTAGAGGATGTACTTTAATTATATCTCTGAAGGTAAAGTATAAGAAATTGTTACCACAATCCCCACAACAGGGAATTATTATCCTCTGTGTTCCTTTTTCTTCTTATCCTTTTAATTATAATCAACTTAATTCAAAAACTTCATTCAAGAAATTTGAAACATCAGGCCGGGCGCAGTGGCTCATGCTGTAATCTCAACACTTTGGGAGGCTGAGGCACACAGATCACTTGAGGTCAGGAGTTCAAGACCAGCCTGACCAATGTGGTGAAACCCTGCCTCTACTAAAAATACAAAATTAGCCAGACACAGTGGTGCATGCCTGTAATCTCAGCTACTTGGGAGGCTGAGGCAGGAGAATCGCTCGAACCCAGGGGGCACAGGTTGCAGTGAGCCTAAATCACACCACTGCACTCCAGCCTGGGTGACAGAGTGAGACTCTGTCTCAGAAAAAAAAAAAAAAAAAAGGAATTTGCAGTATCTTTTTGGCAACTATTAGTATTTTCTATAAAATTGTTTTGATATTTTTTATCCTCTTGAAAACATATTTTAATTGAATCAGTAATATTGCATTAGTAAATAATTTTATTAACTAGAAAATAACAAGAAACCATTGAAGGTTTCTGATTTACCTACAGAAGAACTAATGATAGACAATTTTTATACAGTTTATTGGTCCTCTTTTCTCTTGTGATCCTTAAATTTTGATACACCTAGCCTCAACTATGAATGGCTAAATGAAAACAATTCATCTTGGATTTAGTTCATCATTTTCTGAGCATAAAAGTAGCATTACTGGTACATGAATTATTCATACTTACAGTCATTGGACACTTTTGTGGAAAATTTAAAATTACCTTTACAAATTATAAAATGTAAATATAAGAATATTGTTTGTGTTCCTACAGTAATTACAGCATTTGCTTCCATCTACTGAGTCAAAAATTAGTAATTCAAATTCAAATCTTATCAATAAACTGTAGATTTTTCAAGGTATCAATATATCATCATAAATAATTTCTGGAATCAATGTGAACTATGCTAATGTAATAGTATATTCCACAATATTGCATTGTGGGAAAAAAATATGATTTATTATTCTTATGGGAGAATGAACAGAGCAGTGACTGCATCATTTAACTTTTATTTAGAACATTAATGTAATGTGGTTATGATTCAGTTTCATAAGACAAACTGATATCAAAAGTCCCCTTTGTGTTTCACTCCTATTAATATCATTAAATAAGCAGATTTTTAGTATATTAGATAATATCATTTCCAATATATTTCTGACATGGAATGTAAGAGTTCTAGAATACCCCTTCAAAATGAATATTTCTGAAATCAAATTAATAACAGAATGAAATGTGCACAGAGGTCAATATATTATGATATATATTAGGTACAAGTACAGTTGCTTATCTGTAAAGTGGACTCTGTCTTTGGCTATAAAAATATCTCTTATAAATAAATGAATGCTGTTTTAACCTAATTAAATTCATAGATGATCTTGCATAGCATAAATTTGATAGCAAATTTCATTTGTCTTTCTAGGGCAACAATCCATGAAAATGAATAGGCATATAGAACCATACCAAAACCTTACTTAGTTGAAACAATTTAACACATTTTGAACTCTTCAGGATTAAATCTGACATTGCTCAGTTGAATAGGTTTTGGTAAGTTTTGTAAAAGGGTATACTAAAGAAGAAGAAAACTTTATTATGAAAATCTTAGGATATGAAAATATTCCTCAGTAATAGTGTTATTTCATGTTGTAATTTCTTATTTTATTTCCTTTTTTTTCACTGTTTTTTCCCCAATGTTTATCTGGGTGAGACCAGACTATTGACTGTTATATATTTGCAATTGTATTCATCTAAGTTGTATGTTCTTTGCTTCTAGTCCAAAGCCCTTATCCCTTTACAAACAGAAGCCCATCCAGAAACAAAGCAAAGAGTATTGACTAACTACATGTTTCCCCAGCAGCCTCGTGGTGATGAAGGTAAATTGTCAGTAGAAATTTCTTCTCTACTTATAATGATTATGGATAGAAATGACTAATTTTATTCGAATCTCTGGCCAGGAGTACTGGCACATGGACAAGCCTATAAAGATAATTACATAATACACAAATATCATTTGGGGATATACTTTAAGCATAAGTCTTGTTTTCTACTCTATTTTAGGTAAGCTTCCAAAACAAAACTCTTCATCTTTACATCTTACATAAAAATATTGTTGATTTTTAGGAGCAACTATTTCTCTTTATGGATTGCAAGACACATGACTGGTAAAGCAAATCTGGTACCCAGCTAACTGAAATGAGCTAAGAGCAGTCAGATCCTAAGGAAGTTTCAATGAACTGGTTTAGTTGATGTGTTCACTTATTGCATGAACACAATTTAAACATCTAGTCCAACGATCTCTGGACTCAAATTATTTCATGGTCTAAGTTAACCATAAATAGATACTTGCAAATAAGACCATTCTTTCTTTTTCAAGTTGAGTTCCCCTAACCAAAACCCCAGATCAAACCCCAAATCCTTTTTCAATAATTAAATCATCTCTTCTATGATCACATTATTCATTTAAAAAGGTTAAAAGAGCTTTGTCCTTTGCTATTTGAAACTTAGTGTAGGCTCCTTAGCCCAAACCAACACAAGCTGATATGCACATTTTCTACAGTTATAGAGTAAAAATAATTCTTGGAAGAGTAAACTCATTTTAATCCAGCCATGGATTAAATCTACCCAATCCATGTGAATGAGGCCAACTTGTAAAAGAAACCATTTGTTTATGTATCTTTTATTTCCAGGGATAATTATAATAAATTACTTGGTCTTTGACCTCCAAATGTGAGTGAATCATTTTGGAATTTTTAGGATATTTTTCTTTAAATTTTGTCTATATAAGTAGGAAAAGAAAAGATTGTTTTAATATGCATTTTTATAAGTCAATAAAATTAATCTTTTGAATTGATAAAAGAAAAGCCCCCATGTTTATATATTTTATAAGAGACATCTTAAGTAAGGATTATGTTATATTCATGCAGCTTTACTTATGTTTTCATTTTAATAGCTCTATATTATCAAAATATTTAACTTCAAAAGAATATAGGGGAAACAATGAAAAGTATCTCATATTCACTGGTCATTTCTGAGATGTGATCTCACAGATTGAATCCCTAATTTGTCCCAACGTAGATTCAGTTAGGTAAGGTGGAGTGTTAAAGAATTAGCCTAGCTGAGTTTGCTTTTGTTTCTGCTTTTTTCTTTGAGAAAAGAAAGGTTGGTAATTGAAAAGTTTCCTTGAATTTAAAGTAAGTCATCCTTTGGTTTTCCAGGCAGGAGTGTAATAAATGAGTTTTCAGAATCCCTTGTAACAAAGAAAGACATGTATGATAAAGGACCTCCTTTGGAAAAGAATTTAGCCTTAACTAAGTACTTCCATTGCATTTTCATGTGATCTTTACCATAATGTTGCAAAGAAAATATTATCATTAACCAACATTTTATGTAAATTAAAGATTTATAAGCCATTTCCTTGTTAATTTGGCATATTTAAACTAATTGAAACAGACTATATTTTCCACATTCTCTACCATAAAAACAAGCTCCCCTCATTGACCCCACAATAAAAGGAAAAGGTTGCAATCTTAGATACCTTATTGCAAAGTAAATGTTATAATGTTATGTGGTAACTTTTATAAAAGAAATTTTTATAGAGTTTAGCAGTTACAAATAAGGATTCTATTTAGACAGGAACAGAATCCTGCACTAGCCACTGAGAAGTCTCCTAACACTTTGAGCAAGTCTCTTCAAACTCATTAGTAAAATAAGGATGAGATTAGTAGTACCATTATGTTGTTGTAAGGATTGAAAAAGATAACGCTTTAAAATGCTCGCTCCAACTCTGTATATTATTATATTGTCCTATGGGGAGCCCATTTCCTACACTAGAAAATTTCCCAATCCTGAGTATTTTAGGAGTACTGAATTTGAGTTAAGATTACAAAAGGCCATGTAATAAATATCAAGGGAATTTTATTCTTTTGTTTCTCTTTCCTTCTTTGTCTTTCTTTTTTTCTTTCTTTCTTCTTTATTTTTGTACTTGTTTGTTGTATCTATCACCATTTTTGCATACTGTATTAAATACTTTGTATAAAATTGTTTTTTTAAAAAGCAATAATACTTTGGAATCTAACTGTAGATTTCCAGTCAGACAGTGACAGCTTTAACCCTACACTGTGGGAAGAGCAGAGACAACAACGCATGACTGTTGCCTTTGAATTTGAAGACAAAAAAGAAGATGATGAAAATGCCGGGAAAGTTAAGGTGAACCTTTTAGCTTTTGTTTCCTCTTTCTTCTCCTTATCTTTTTGTTTGCCCATTGTTCTTATTCAGATAGATTTTGGGACAAAGTCAGACACCTCTTCAAGTCTCATGGCGGTACCTTTCATTACAGCATGCTGGTAGTTTTGGAAGCATTGGTGTGCTTCAGAATGAGACTAATGTCCCAAATCTGAGTGAGCAAATTTGAAATGCCACCTCATCCAACAGAATAACTGCATGAGAGAGATTCAAGCTGAGAGAAAGTAGAAAAAAAAATCTGTATGATCGACTTCATCTAAGAACCTTATTTCATTGTTGACACACTACACACTACAATGATTTTTTTTTAATCACTGAGCAAAGCATCATGCAGACTGAATGAGGCCAAAATAAACATTTCTGGAAGGGCCAACAGATTAATATATTGCATTGGCATTAAAATCTCTGAAAGGTTCTGTGTCCTTGGGCTATTCAAGAAGAATTTATGAGTTTCCTTAAATGTGAGGACAAATTTTAAGGAAGATTAGTGCCTAATGGCAGGCGATGTTCCTTAGGGAATATAACTTCAATTTTTTTTTTTCACCTCAAAGTATATTTTAAAAGGTCTTTTATAGGGACTACTAAGTCAAGTAACAAGATTGAATTTTAAAATCTGTATTTCTCCATTACTTAAAATTTTAATTATCATCAGAATTGATTTAGATTTTATCAGCATCACATTTTCACATTGTCATGGCAGCATCTTGAATCTCTCATTTACTTTTTATAACATTGTATGTGTACTTTTTCTATCATGGCTACTAACAGCTCTCACTCTTAGTGACTAATTACCTTTATAATTGCATATATGTTCTATTAATAAAGCTAGATTGTGCGTTATGTTTGTCTCCGTCCTCTCCTTTCCACATTTTCGAAACTTTATTTCTTAAATCAGCACATGAGCACTTACTGGCAAGGCCTACTAATATCGTTACGGAGAACCCAAAATGGATTCCCAAATCCAAAATAACAATTTTGTTAAAGATTTGGGTTTAAAAAAATGTCTCTGGATAGTTGATTAGTGCTGTCTAACAGCCAAAGAGACATCTTTTTGAACTTGTGAATTCCTGGAAAAAATAATGCTAAACTGAAAACAAACCTTCAGAACATTTCAGTTCTTTTACGGATTTCTTATGTTAAATCCAGAACCAATGGATGATGCATTCTATACCAGACTTCTGATTCATCTTTATATTTCATTGAATTACCAAAAATCACATGCTTCTTCCTGAAATTCTATATTCAAAGAATGCAAGAAGAAAGTGCATTTAATATACTCTGGTATATGTGTCAATGAAAACTTAAAATATAGTAAATGCTTATGGTTATTTAGAAGCCCTGTTTGTGTGTTATGTGTTCAAGTTTGTTTATAATCAGAGTAGGTTCATTATACTTTAGAGTGTTTTTACTCTGTGTTTATTTACATTTGGTTTATTTATGTATTAATGAAACAGTGTGTGTTTCAAAATCTCAAACTATTCAGTTTTGACTAATTTGAATATTTCCAATGCCATTGGCTATTGGACAAATTAGAGCACAAACAAACTTCTAAATAAATCATCATGGAAGTATGATGAATAGAATATATTGTAATCTTACACTGAATTAATCACACTTTTCTGGTTCATTACATGTACATTAAATTCAGCACCATTTTACCTTTAATTTACATGAAATTTAAAAAGGAATCATTGACCTATGCTTTCCACTTTCAAATGGACTAGAGTATAATGCCCTACTTATAGTCTGTATAGTGTAGTATGAATGCTGCATTGTGTGAAGAAATTGTGACCCTTTAGCATCATATAAAATTAGTACTGTTTTATATGTGGATTGAAAACTAATTTTATGATCATTGTTTTAAATGCATAACTCAGAGTGAAAGAAAAAGAGACTAGAAAAATGATAAAGTGAAAGTATTGCTACAGTGCTCCTCTTTCTCCCAGAAAATGGAGATTCCTTCTCCCACAGGATCTCTCCTGCCAAGCCCCCTGGGAAAGGGGCCAGCGTGGGATTACTCTCCAACCTGCCAGACTGTCTGGCGATTGCTGCACACCATGGGCCAGGTGTGATCAGCAGATCCAAGATATGCCCGTCCCCCAGAATGACCCACAGCTGGCATGGGGTTGTATAACTGGCCTCCAGCAGGACAGGAGCATGTGTACTCCATTGCCAGTTGCAGCACAATCCACCACTCTTCCCTCTCTAAGTGGCAGACAGGTAGGCCTAGGTGTCTGGGGTAGGAGAATCTCCCATATAGAGGCAACCTTGGAACAGTGGTTTATGGGGTATGTTCTGCATGATTTGGGGTAAGAAATGTTGATCACATAGAAACCTTCAAATTGCCAGTGTTTTATCTCAATTTAACATTTTGTTTATTGACATTGGCAATGGGTGGGGAGGACTGAGCCAGAGGGGAGGGAAAATCAATGTGAGGTGCCTATTGGTGGGATATCTGGCATGGTTTTTGAGTTGAGTACTTTTTTTTTCTTTAATTTAAAGTGTGGGAATACCAATAGTTGGGCAGAATGTTGATGACACTATTGATGCGTTCTAAATTGTCCCCTCCACATATATGCACATTTTTTATAATGTGAATTCTGGGGGAGATTAAATAGCTAAAACTTAATTGTTAAAATAGCATCAGATTAAATTGAGATTTGCTGAGAGTGGCCTTTAAGCACAAAGATAGACAATCTGTTGAAAAGCATCAATTTCCTTTAATTTGAAGACACAGATCATATGAATTCCTGTAAGAGAAGATTGAATTGGGAGTTGTGGCAAGTAGGGCTTCCTTATCTTTGTGGTTGGGTGTTTTAAGAGGTTAATGGGGGGGAAAACATGTTTTACTGGAATATGAAAGAACACTGCATGTCTTGTAAACTTTACTATCCACATGTAATGGACTAGATACTTATCCATTGTCTTATATTTTTGCTATAATATAAGGCAAGCTGAGAATGCATTTTCCTAACTAAAACTGCTATAAGTTTCTTCTCTTTGTATATCATTCCAACTAATTCTCAAAGTAATATAATATTTAACTATCAATGATCAAAGTATTAACTAATATTTCTCTTACTGGAATTTGCAATCAAATCAAATTAGAATTTGATCATGATGTGAAATATAATATATTATATTACGTAATATAATATAATATATAAAAAAACAGTTCTGTGTGAATTCAAGATATCATTTCTAAATGCCCTAAATGCCCTAGCTATTAACCTTAAGTGATTCTTTATTGCTAAATTTTTGGGGGTCTCCAACATCTTGCAGCTGCTATTTGCATTTACTGCACTTTATTTACATCTAAGATACAAAGAATGCTGTGAAACATTTCTGTTCTTCAAAATTAAAGTAATATTTTAGTAAAAATCTTGCATTTTAATCAAATGTATATGTGAACTGAGCAAATACTTTATAGTGAGTGATCAACACAACACACTTTTGCAAGAATATAATTGATTTTCCTACCTTTGTGTATAATAAATGAATTTATATATTTTATCTCATATTGGAATAAGAAAACATTTATAGTCTATATATTTAGATATATAGAAAAATTGCTCTTGTATTTGGGTATTACTTAACTATTAGTATAACTGGGTTTATGATCATATTCACTTCTGATGCACTGCATATATCCACTGAAAAATAAAGCAAAGCAATCTATAAATGGGCATAAAATATGCTTGCGTAGAGCTTCCAAACATAATATAATGATAAAATATAGTTTTATCTTTAAAAATTATAAATTATTGTGTTACTTAGCTTTATTTAAAAAATAGAAATTATTTTGCCATTTAACTCAGAGAAATTCACATTTTAAACTTACAGTATTTCTTCCACAATATTGTACAAATATGTGCTGCACCCATACTCTGAGCTACCATAAGCATTGGAGTCAAAAGACCTAAGTTTGCATATTGCATCTACTAGCTATGTAATCTTAGGCAAGTTACTTACATGGTCTGAGCTACACTTTTTTTCTGTAAAGTGGCAACAGCTGCTGCAATGGGTTGTGAAACTTAAGTGAGATTTTATATAATGATTAATTATATAATTTTTAATAATTAATCATTTATTATTTAGTGTACAAATATTAATTTATATTTAAACCTGTAGAATTTATAATAATGTTTATGTAAATAATTAATAATAAATTAAATATCCCTATAAAACATTTATCATGGTGACTGGAACATGGGAGATACTGAATTAAATAACTGTTGCTACATGTAATTGAAAAAAAGATCCAGACAGTTACAGATATTATGTTTAGACATATACAGAGTAGAGTCAAAATCACCAAAAGGAATCCAGATTTTTAAAATATATTAAGTAAAATGTGACCTTAGAAATAGTATCTCATCTCCTCATAGAACTTACAGATTTTCCAAGAACTTTCACATTTTTCACATTTTAGCTCCAGATTAACTCAAATGTGTAGGAAATACATTATCATTTCCATTTTACATGAGTAGAAACAACAGAAGGATTAGTGGATGATAGCTAGTTGGGAATAAATCTATGACTTAAATTTAAATCTTCTGACTCCAAGGCCAGTCAATTCTGCTAGTAGGCTAGTAAGTGAGAAGCAAGGAGCTTACTTTTTAGGTGAAACAAATCCAAGCTTTATAAGACCTGGAACTTCCTCAATTTAAGGGGGATCCTCTTTCAGGAAAAGAATATAAAATGACTCTGTAAATAATAAGACCCCTCACAAGACTTTGGAAGAGGTGTGTAGCTTAAGCTGTGTTAATGCATAGTAAATCTATTTCTAGATGTAATTGTTGTCACAAGAATAAAATATTCAAACATCTTCTGGTGATGTGACCAAAATATCACATGTACTTGCTTATAAAATAACCAGAAAATATTAGTACCATGTCAAATAGTGATCTAATTGTGTCAGATGGGACATAGCATCTAACAAAAAATACATTACATTATTCAATGAAGTATTTAATTCAATTAAGGAAGAACACTTCACATTTCTTTTGCCTTCCATTCAATTTATAAGTGTAGTTTTAGTGTTAGGGGTTTTTTAAGTTGCATAGAATTTTAATTTAATGCCCTACTTTAGCTTATTTTTTATTCACATACAGCTGGTTATTAAAAAATAAAATATTCTTAATTGGCATGATAGTCATAGCATTCTACAACTTACATTTTTAATGTAATTTTTTTTTTACTTCTAGCACTTTGATGTCAAGTACTTTTAAACAAGTTCAATGATATAATTTTTAAATTATACTTAATTTGTGATTAACATTTCTAATACCAATTTAAACAACAGATCTAAGAATGCATGTATCCCAATGGACTTTGTCTAGTAGTCATATCATTCCTTTTATGTTTATTTAAGAATACATTACAAATTAAGAACCCTGGGATTTATTTATATTACAATCTAACAACTTACATTTTTTTTTCTGTCAATTCTAACTTTGTTTTGGGTTATATTTTTGTAGCTATATTTCTATATATTATCAATGTCATCCTTATTTATTTGAGAGTTTAAAGAGATTAAACTACATTTAAATAGCACTTACATTAACAAAATTATCTGGTTTTTCATTTGTTTTCCAAATATTTACTGGAATATAATTTTATATCTTTAATATTAAAAGGAATGTTAGAAGTCATCTAGTGAAGTCCAATTCCAGTATTTGATGAGAAAAATGAGCCACAAGGAAGACAAAATACTGAGAAGAATAACACAGTTGGTGGATTTGCTAAAACTGCAGATGGGCAAAAGTGTTTGAATTCATATTCATAATTTTCAGATCTATATCACCATCATAGTTACTTACATCCCATGAATTACATGGGTGTGTGGGGGTGGGTGCGTATGTGCCCCTCACTCTTTCTTTCTCTCCCTTTTCCACTCTTCTTCTTCCTTTCACTGCTTCTCTTTCGCCTTCTCTTCTCTTACCCTCTCACCCCCACACACACTTTTCACAGATACATACCTACCACAATCACATAAATCATTTCATTTTGTAAAGTTGATTCTACTCAGATGCAAAACATGATTGTTGGAACAAGCCAGGCCAAGTAAATCCTTTTTTTCTCAGTCCCTTTTAATTAGCAAATTAGCATGCACAACTTGTACTTATTCTATTTTAAATATGTTATAACAAGTACCCTGATGATGAAATATTCTATATGGAATGTCTCATATTTTCTACCTCTAAATTTAATGCTAAGAATAGTCATTAACATGTATTCCCAAAAGTTAGATTGATACCCTAAAATGAATTCAAGAATGGAAATAAGTAGCTGGATCGATAAAAGCCAAAATTTACACATGTCCCTAAAATATGTTAGAAAGTGGTCCCAATTTTTAATTTCTCTTCATTATAAGATATTACTCAAGAAGCATGTCACTTTCTTAGGGTAAAAAGTAAATATAAAAACTACCCTGAAGCATTTTTTTCCCTTAGGGATTAATGAGAATTAGCTAGTCTACCTTTTGATATAACATACCAACTGTTTAACAAAGGCTAATGCATATTTGGGCAGCAGATATTGTCAACTCCCCATTTTTTAATATGCAACTCTACTTGTAAAGCTTGTTGGGTCTCCTCCCATCACCTGCATTGATACTCAAAAGATACTCTTAATATCAACATAATTACTTACAAATATTAAAATAAGGAAGAGAACAGTGTCTAAAGTAAGAAAGCAGCTGGTATAACGTGATTAAATTTTTCAAATTACCAATCACTTAAGTGTTTTGACCTACTGCTATTTCAGCCATCTATAGGGTAGGTCTAAAGACAGAATATGATTCAAAATTAGTTTATAATCCAGAAGAATGGGAAGGGGTGGGAAGTCCCACAAGGCTAAATATGTAAACGCTATGCGTCCTACTCTATAACAGTTTCTCAGCCAGCTCAACACTCACTGTATTGCATTTGATTATACTACTGAATATAAAATGGGGTAGTTTTGTGAACATGCTTGCTGAAGTTATTTTTATGTTAAATTTCTTTTTGTAAACTTCTAGGTTGAAATAAACCTAAAACGATATCCAACTCCTTACCCAGAGGATTTAAAGAATATGGTAAAATCTGTTCAAAATTTGGTGGGTAAGCCAAGCCATGGAGTGCGTGTTGAGAATTCAAATCCAACTGCTAACACGGAGCAAACTGTGAAAGAAAAATATGAACACAAGTGGCCGGTAGCCCCAAAGGAGATTACAGTGGAGGTACTTGAAGGTTATTGGTAATTGCCAGTGTGGTTTGGATTTTTTGGAATTTTAAATATGCTTTTTAACTGAATAGATCTTCCTTGATAAGTGCATTTTTCCCCTAAAATAAAAATGATCTCTCTACTTTTTCAAACTATGAGGGTTGCATTTAATCAATCATAGAAAAATGATACCCTCATGGCCAAAAATCATTAACATAGCTCCAAAAGTTCCAATACACACAGAATGAATAAGTTCATCACCCAGCAAGGCCTGGCCAGTGAGTGCATTATATCATATTAGTGACATTATTTTGGCTACCCCAAACTTTTATTGTATTAATCATTAAGAAAGACTAATCCAAGATTTTCTATTATGCAAATCTCATAAAATTCCTAATTAGATCTGGAGCACAATTTTAAAATGTTTTTATCTTTGGCTTACAACTTTTCTAGGAAACACTGATTAACAATAAAAGAAGGATATAACTTTGAAATTTAGATTTATGGAATCTAGTCATGTGAAGTTTAATTCCTATATTTTAGAATGAGTTAGAAATCCATCCTTATTGATTTTGTGGTCTGAAAAGAATTCAACTACACTAACGCCACCTCTACTATTTCATCACCTCTTCAGCTAATTTGGTTATCATATTTTTATCTTCATTAGAAACATAATTGATCTGAGTACATCTGTAAGTTCGCATAACTACTTCTCCAAAATCTAGATTGGCAAAACTCTTTTACAAATCTGCATTTCAGAGCATCATTTTGTTGCATTTATTAAACACCAACTGCATATGTAACACTGTGCCAAACACTGTGAGAGAGAAAAAAGAAATATAAAATGTGTCTGTAATCCCCCAATAATTTAAAGCCGACTCAGATACACTTAAGACACATGAAACAATTAAAGAGCATATTATTTAAAATATGATCCCATGGTTAGTTGAGTGATGGCGAATATAATGCTCTAAGTTTAGTTTAGACTGTGTATTAAAGGTAGGGTGATTCTGTTAGAGAGGAAAAGGGAGGAGGGCATTCCAAGCAAAGGGAAGAGCTTGAGCAAAAATAAGCATAGTGTGCATATCTGCCAGCAGAGGTACCAGCCTACCCTAGAGGAGGGGAATACACCTAGATTTCTAAGGGAAAAAAATGTTAACATTCATTTTCATTGTTTTTTGCTTATAAAATCAGTATCACTATACTTTTTCCTTTCTAAAATATTATGCACATATTATAGTAAAGCAACAGACTGTTCTTTTGTCTCAAAGACATTGCTGCAATATAAAGGGGAAGGAAACCAACATTTAGCAGATACACATTAAATACATACATATACATTTTATATTTAAATATCCTGTAATCACAGTTTGACATCAAAATAACTGGTGGTCATGAAAATCTATAAACTGGATAATTTTACTATAAAATAAGAGTCTAAAATGTCTTCATGCAGGGATGGGATAGATGAGGCTTTGGTCATGAATTTAATAATAAATCTTAAAACTGTCCCAGAATCAGGTCAAGCATAACCAATCTAAAATTAGATTTAATGTTTCCTTTGTAAACTTACTTTTGCTTTCGTGTTCCTGATCTTGATCTCACTGGCACCATTATCTTCCATTTCACTCAAGCTAGAAATTTGAGAGATGTCCTTATTTCTTCTTCCTTCTTTCTCTCCACTTCCTGTGTCTTCCAAATAATTACCAAAGCCTGTGCATTCTCACCTAAGTGTATCATTTCTACCTCTTCAGGCCCTCAATTCTGTCCTGCATTACTATAAAAAATATCTGGTTTTTTGGCTTCCCTTGTCCCCAGCCTCCTCATTGCCTTGTCAATGGTCTTCCTAAAACAGAATTCTAATCATTTCTTTGCCCTCCTTAAAAACACTACAGTGACTCCTTATTGCTCAGGCTAAGATTAAAGCTCAACTTTCAGCTTTAAATTTCTCTGTGTGATTTGCACCACCCCTTTCTTAGCTTTCTTCTACTAGTCTTTTCCTCTTGAACAGAAATTTCACTGGCAATTTCAATACTTTATCTAAAATTGAGATTCTAGATCTTCTCTCTCTAACTTTTAACCATCCTAGAGCAAGGAGGAACTGTTGCTTTCTGTATTATCCTCCTGTCTCAAAATAACTGCAGCCAAAGTAAAGGTTCACACTCTATTTTTCAATGTCCAGATTTAATCAATGCAGATAATCAAGCATTTAGCTGATCAGTGCATACTAAATATTTATGTTTTGCACTTGTATGCCATTTTTTGGGTCATTGTTATTAGTTCACACTGCCAAGGATATGGAAGAGGGTATTATACACTGCATGATATATTTATTCATGTGATTAAATATAGAAAACCCCCCAGAAAAGAATAAAGGTAGGCAGGACCAGAAGTGGAAAACAGAAAAATTAAATAAGGTAGAAAGATTACAAATGCAACTAAGGGGAAAAAGGAAAGGTAAATATTTATTGCTCACTTTCATTTTGCCAACTATATGCCAGTAGTTTTAACATACATTATGCCAGACAAAGAACAGGGCTGGCAGAGCCGTAAGAAGAAGGAGGACAGGGAGATTTTCCTTTATAATGCCTTGTACAGTTTGCATTTGCCTTTTCCCCAGATCTCTTTATATGGCTAGCACTTCCTCATCCTTCAAGTTTCAGCTTAAAGGTCACCTCAGCAGGAAGGCCTTCCCTGGTCACCCTGATCAGTTAGACCCTCTGATATTCTCTGTCACGTCACATTATCACATTAAATATGATGAACAGTTATGATTACTTTGTTTATTGACTTCAGACTGTGAGTTTCATGAAGGCAGGATGCTTTCTTTCTTCCCCGTCCTTTTATTGCCTGAGTCTAGCACAGTGCCTAGGATAGAGTTGGAGCAAAATAAATATTTGTTGAATAAATGAATGATTGATATAGTCTAGTGTAATCACTCTGGTAACATGTCTGTCTCTCCATTCAATTAGATATTCATTGAAATCAAGGAGAAGTTGTGAGGTTTTTTTGAATTAATAATTTAATTAATTGATACCTATCCACACTTCATCACCTGTGTGTTCAATACACTCTTGGTATATAAATGCCCACAGCGTCTCAGTGATGTTATGGTGATCCTAGACAAAAATAAATACCTAGGAGTTTCATTTAAGTTGTTATTCCCAAACAGCTTAGTAAATATTTATGCCCTACTTTGTGGTCATTTGAAAAAATCAATGCAATTAAATTGAAAGAGAAAGTTTTTACCTCATTCTTACCAAATCAAAGCCAAAATATTAATGGCATACATGCACCTGTTAAACACCACCTATCTTCTCACAGCTAGGAATCATAGTAGACACCACAATTTTAATTTCTGTTTCTCATTGATTTTCAAGTGCCACTTGGTTTTTGATCACAGCAACCACCAAAAAACCAGCCTCACAAGGATTTTGGTTTTTTGTTTTTGTTTTTTGTTTTTTATTTTTTTGAGATGGAGTCTCGCTCTGTTGCCAGGCTGGAGTGCAGTGGTGTAATCTCAGCTCACTGCAACCTCCAACTCCCTGGTTCTAACAATTCTCCTGCCTCAGCCTCCTGAGTAGCTGGGATTACAGGCACGTGCCAGCACAGCCAGCTAATTTTTGTATTTTTAGTAGAGACGGGGTTTCACCGTGTTGGCCAGGATGATCTCGATCTCCTGACATCATAATCCACCCACCTTGGCCTCCCAAAGTGCTGGGATTACAGGCATGAGCCAGCATGCCTGGCCAAGGATTTTCATCAAAAAGAATGTGCAATCTAATGTTGTAACTGAGAGCTATCTCAAGCTAGCCATTTGCACAGTGTCTGTCTAATGTCAAGTATTGCTTTGTTTCCCTCAAACATTTAATATAACTCACAGTGTCCCTGTTAATTGCAGCAACACCCATGGGTGCCTCAGAGTACAGTTTAAGAATCAAGGGGTAGGGCTTTTAAATCTAGCACACATGAATTGAAATCTTGGCTCCACCTTGTGACCTTAACAAGTTCCTAAAACCTTTTCGATCCTTGGTTTCTTTATCTTAAAAAAAACACAAAACAGAAAATATAACAGCTATTTGTATACAGCTCCAAGCACAGTTATTGACACAGAAGAAGCCTACAGTAAATCATTCTCTCTTCTTTCTCAAGAGAATTATATGCCAATTCCTTTCTCATCCTCCTTTAATCCTTCTGCAAGTAACTACCAAGATACATGTTCACCATCCAAAAATGTTCTCCATTTTTCTCTTTGTTAGGAGACTCAGCCCAATTTTTTTCTATAGAGGAACATCTTTCTTCCAGTAACAGAGAATTGTCAATTACCCTCAAAATTTTCCTTAAATTACTTCTATTCATGCTAGGCCTAGACTCTCAAAAGCTCAGAAATAAGCTTGCTTTCTTTCCTTTGACTTCTTCCTGAGGCTTCTTTTCTTTATCGCAGTAGCAGCCAAGATGTAGTTTGAACAGTGGAAGGGCAATTGTGTGAAAAAGGACATTTTACCTTTTCTTTCTCTCCCACTTCTGTCTCCTCACCAGAAAGAAAATATGGTTCAATCTACTTGCAATGGAATCCCCACTAAATTCTATTTTCTACCAAAAACTTCCTCTGTCATTGCCCATGGAAGCAGTCCCCAAAACTTTGCCCACTTTTCCAAAAGGAACTCTATTCCTCTAGCCTCTATAAAAGAAATTATAGAAACAAAATTAGTGATTTGTTTCCTTTGTTGGATAGTTAACTTTACTTTGTGAAACCCATGTGAGAAATGAGCTGTTCTTAGGATAGACAATACTGCATACACAGTATCACATAGATCTTTGAGTAGCACAGATCTCAGTTCAAATCCTGGCTCTACCACTTATTAGGTTTGTGACTTAGAATTATGATTTTACCTCACTGAGCCTTCATTTCCTTATCTGCAGAACAAAAAAAAAAAGATGATAATAAATAATTTGAATGCCACATAATGATAAAAAAATAAGGTTGTCTTTTAAATAATTAACAAGGATAATAGAGAGTGTTTAGCATAGTAGCACCACAGCAGATGTAATTAGTGCCATGTAATTTATGGCCATTATCATCATTGTCATCATCATCATCATCACTTTGTTCATAAGGGTAAGAGAATCTACTCGGATCACTGCAAATTCATCATTCTTGTTTCAATAATGTCCTTCTAAGAAGAAATACAAGTTCATAATTAGCTGATAATCATCCTCTCTTCCTGATCATTAAGGCTGTTTTTGATTCCCAATAGAAATTCTTGAACAGGATCAGAAGCTTGAACCTGAGTCAAACCAGAGCTACCATGCAGAGTTCCAGTCATAATTTTGGTATACAAGTTTGAAAGTCTAATCAATACAAACAAGATGACCTGAGTACTGAATGTGTAGAACATAAGGGAAAAAAAAGCAAAACCCATAGTTATTTTAACATTCTGTACTTGTACAACTATTTGGTTTGCTTTTTTGTGTTTCTATTCTATTTTTGTTTTTCTTTTGAATAAAACGAAATTCCCATTCTTGTAATTAGGTATCATAGGAATATTTTTAGATTATTATTTCAACAAATAACTTACCTTTAGATTCATAGATGGTTAATACTAGACAGGAATTGGCACTAATTCCTGTTACTGATTACCTTTATTTTAATGATGATAATGCCCAGAGAAGTACACTGACTTGCCCAGTGTGACTAACAAAATACAAAAATAGAAATAGGATGAAAATATGACACCTTGTAACAAATTTTTTGGCAAGTCAGCATATTTTATGCCTTTCATGGTACTCTTTCTCAAACTCATATCTTCTTATAAATTTCTCCAAAGTATATAAAGACTTTTATCCTCCATTCTGTCACCTTGAAACTTTGTCATACATTTCTTATGCTAAATCTTTGAACTAAATTTCAAAATCAGTCAAAATGAAGAATATGTACCCTGTAAAATAATTTTTAAAATCAATCAAAATAAAGAAAATATGGCCTCTATAAAAGAATTTATAAAAAACAAAGTCAGTGATCAATTTCTTTTGTTGGGTAGTTATCTTTGTTCTGTGAAGCCCATGTGAAAAATGAACTTTTCTTAGGATAGGCAATATGGCATACACAGTATCACATAAAACACTTTTGAGTAGCAAATATAGCCTCTTCAACTACTGAATTTTCCATTCTACTCCTTTTCCTGTTCCTCTTTGCAATTTGATACCTCATTTTAAGTTCCTTGTGTGCTCACAGCTGAGCTCACCAGGAGGCAACACAAGGTAAGGAAAGATCACTGGAATGGAGCCCAAGAGAATCCTGCTGCAGTGCTGGATCTGTGTGCCCTAGGCCTAAGCCGAGTCTCAGAACCCGCCTCTAGAAAACAAAAGTGTTGGACTAAATGATCTTGCCATTTTCTTTTATTGAAATATTCTATTTAAAAAATTAAAAAGTATCAGATATAACCAGGTTTTTCAGGCAAATATTTCCATACAAACCTAACCCAAAAGAATCCCAAAAGATAGAACTTAAACCAAAAGTTAAAGAAATGGACATGCTTCTCTGCAATAACCAAAGACCTGAGCATGTCTCACTATGGGGGTCCTTGGCAATATATAAAATTTATAGTAAGAGTTTCTGCCTGTTCATTATACCAACCGATTAGTTTTAAGACAGGACTTTTTAAATTTACAATATTTTTGTCCTCAAGTATATTTTTTTCTCTGATTTAACAAAATATTTCTAAGTATTTTACATTAGTGCTCCAAACTCACAAGATACTAATGAATTAAAAAGCTGAAAAATTCTTATTTGAATTAAAATTAATCTTAAGGGAAAAGAAGACATAACAATAGCTGCTATGCATAAATATATCTCACTACTTATGGGCATAGATAAGGTGTTTTTATATCTGGAAGAAAGTGAGAATTTGGTATTTTACCTTCCCCTAATGCTCTCCACACTCCCTGGTTAGCTGAGAACAGTAATTTCAATTGTGGAAGTTTAAAATTCTTGGGTTTTCTACATGTTTATTTGTCATTATGAAGTTATAGTCGTGTATCGATATTGCTCGTTATACTCAAAGAAGGGGTATAGAATGAAGATTTAGCACGCTAGATTAGGTGTGAGAAAACCAGGAACCTTTGGAAGAAGACATGATAGAACTTGAGAAATTGAGGAGATGATCACTTGGGATACAGTAGAAAGTGAGGAGGAAAGTGGTGGGAAGAGCAGGATTTATAGGACCCGACAGTGAATTAATGTGGCTAGGGATGCACACACACACAAAATCTTAATTAGTCAGTGACATACTTTCCTCTTAAAACTCTTAGAGAGTTCACCACTTAGAACAATTACATGCATATATGTCATATTTGTGTGAATCATACTGCTCATTAATGGCTTATCATAATTCAGTCTGGTGTTCTAATGACTTATATCTCATCCCTCCAACTAGATTATAAACTCCCAGAGGGTACCAGCGACATTTTGTCTTTCTTTGGAACCTCCACAGTTCATTGCACAGTGCCAGGCATATAAACAACATGCAAAAAAAAAAGGATGAATAAATGGACTCACTTACGTTAGAAAAAAAAATTTTAATGCTTAACTCAGAGATACATATGGTTTATTTCTCCCAGTGCCCCACAGTGAACTGAATTCTAGAGTCACATTTTTGAATCTGAGCCAAATAAACATACTGCCACTTCGGTTAACCATTGTTTAAATGTTTACTTTCCTTGTCCTGTATTATTATATCTCTCAGGATTCTTTTGTTCATCCAGCTAATGAAATGAGGATTGGGGAACTTCACCCTTCATTAGCTGAGACCCCTCTGTACCCACCCAAACTTGTTCTGCTAGGGAAGGACAAAAAAGGTAACATTGTGAACCCAATGTGGAAAATATGCTACAAATGCATGTGCATGATGAATCGCCAGTTGTAAATTATGATACACCATAGTCTATACAAATGTTTTACAAATATGCATTTCTAACCTTAATCGGTATGGTTTCCATTTTTCATACTTGCTTTTCCGTGTAATTGTCAGTGTCATAGCATTATAACATTTTCCCCTTTAAATTTCAGAATCAACTGATGAGTCTGAAGTTGACAAAACTCACTGTCTGAATAACAGTGTTTCCTCAGGCACTTACTCAGACTACTCGCCTTCCCAGGCTTCCTCAGGATCCTCTAATACCCGGGTTAAAGTGGGGTCCTTGCAGACAACAGCTAAAGATGCAGTACATAATTCTTTGTGGGGTAACAGGTGTGTTTAGAATTCCCTCCTTTTGTTCCCAAACGTTTATTTTCAGCAACTTTTTAAAAAATAGAATCTTCTTAATTTTGGAATTGTATTCAGCACACAAGTGGCACAGATGACAGAAGGGGCAGGTAAGCAAATGTTGTTCACCTGGGACTGCCAAGAACAGATGAATCCATCTTACAGGGAGAGGCCATTGGTTAAGGAAGACATGGTAGGAGTTAACAGGATGAGATGGTAGAACAAAAAATTTTTAAAATAAAAAAAAAAAAATGTTAGCCCACTGATACTTATTGATGAGACATGGATGTTTTACCATACAAAATGGCATAATGAATTAAAATAAAATGCCAGTAAAACACTTATGTGTTTGGTCCAGAGTAAGTGTTCAATAAATTTTCATTGCTATCATCATCATCATAATTTTGTCACCACCTGGAAAAGTTAGGATGTATTTTAAAGTACTTAATCTTTCCAAAATGCCTCCTCCTCTATGTTACTCTAACTTTACAGATGAAAAAACAAAAACCACACACAGAGCACAATAAAGTGACTCAATAAGGCAGTGTTTTCCAGTTCTAATTCCATTTTGTAACTTGTTGCTATGTTTTATACTACAAATAGCAAATTAAAATTGTTATATGATATAGGTAGTCAATAACTTTTACTCGTATTTTACTGAAAATATTGCCACTATTAGCAACGTCTTCTTTAGTAATTCATGAGTAACTTTCCCTATTCATTGATGCTCATAATAAAAATCTTAACTCTTCCAGTCTGTAAATTCATTATCTGCATTATTTCAGTATCTGCTAGAAATAACATGGTCAATGATATAAACATGTCAGGGATCTAAAGTCATAATATAATTTACATTCTACAAAAACATACCTGAATAGGCTCTCTATATAGTAGCATTTAGTGTCTTCAAAACCTGACCTTCAAGTAAAAGTTATCCGAAGACAATTTAGATTCATTACATACACCAAGCATTTGTAAGAAAGGTACTCTCAGCCAATAGTTCGAAATGTACCAAATCAGAATCTCCAGGAATGGATACCAGGAATCATGATTCTAATTAGACCCAACTCTTCGTCCTTTTCAATTTCTTCTTCCCATTGTGTTCACAGGATTGCACCATCTTTCCCACAGCCTCTTGATTCAAAGCCATTACTCAGCCAGCGGGAGGCTGTTCCCCCAGGCAGTATACCACAGCGTCCTGACCGGCTGCCCATGAGTGATACTTTCACTGACAACTGGACTGATGGCTCACATTATGACAACACAGGGTTTGTTGCTGAGGAAACCGCAGCTGAGAATGCCAACAGTAATCCTCTCTTAAGTTCGAAATCTAGAAGCACATCTTCGCATGGACGCAGGCCTTTGATCAGGCAAGACAGGATTGTTGGTGTTCCCCTGGAACTTGAGCAGTCTACACACAGACACACACCAGAAACAGAAGTGCCTCCTTCCAATCCTTGGCAGAATTGGACCAGAACCCCTAGTCCATTTGAAGACAGGACCGCTTTTCCTTCCAAATTAGAGACAACCCCTACTACCAGCCCATTGCCTGAAAGGAAAGAACATATAAAGGAATCTACTGAAATACCTAGTCCTTTTTCTCCAGGCGTACCATGGGAGTATCATGATTCCAATCCCAACAGGAGTCTTAGTAATGTCTTTTCTCAAATCCACTGCCGCCCAGACTCTTCTAAAGGTGTTATTTCAATTAGCAAAAGCACAGAGAGGCTTTCCCCTCTAATGAAAGATATCAAGTCTAATAAATTCAAAAAGTCACAGAGTATCGATGAGATTGACATTGGTACATATAAGGTGTATAACATACCATTAGAAAACTATGCTTCTGGGAGTGATCACTTAGGAAGCCACGAACGACCAGATAAGATGCTGGGACCAGAGCATGGTATGTCCAGTATGTCTCGAAGCCAGTCAGTCCCGATGCTGGATGACGAGATGCTCACCTACGGAAGTAGTAAAGGGCCACAACAACAAAAAGCTTCTATGACAAAAAAAGTCTATCAGTTTGACCAAAGCTTCAATCCTCAAGGATCAGTGGAAGTGAAAGCCGAAAAGAGGATACCACCCCCTTTTCAACACAATCCCGAGTACATGCAACAGGCCAGCAAAAACATCGCCAAGGATTTGATTAGTCCTAGAGCTTACAGAGGATACCCACCAATGGAGCAAATGTTTTCATTTTCTCAACCATCTGTGAATGAGGATGCTGTGGTGAATGCCCAGTTCGCAAGTCAAGGGGCCAGGGCAGGCTTCCTGAGAAGGGCCGACTCCCTGGTGAGCGCCACAGAAATGGCCATGTTTAGAAGGGTCAATGAGCCTCACGAGCTGCCCCCAACTGATAGGTATGGCAGACCTCCATATAGGGGAGGGCTGGATCGCCAAAGCAGCGTTACAGTGACTGAGTCCCAGTTCCTGAAAAGGAATGGCAGGTATGAAGATGAACACCCTTCATATCAAGAAGTGAAAGCTCAGGCGGGAAGTTTTCCGGTTAAAAACCTTACCCAAAGGAGGCCATTGTCTGCGAGAAGCTACAGTACAGAGAGTTATGGTGCCTCCCAAACCAGGCCAGTTTCAGCTAGGCCTACTATGGCAGCTCTTTTGGAAAAAATACCATCTGACTATAACTTGGGTAACTATGGTGACAAGCCATCAGATAACAGTGATTTAAAGACGAGGCCTACTCCTGTGAAGGGAGAGGAGAGCTGTGGTAAAATGCCTGCAGACTGGAGACAACAGCTGCTTAGACATATAGAAGCTAGACGGTTAGACAGGGTATGTCTGGCATTTCTCTGTAAGAATATCCCTCCTGCCTTTAGTGTTACTTTTTTGGCATTTCTAAGCACATGTAGTGAAGCATGAACTACGTGAATGAATTAGATGATCAGTATTTTATTTATCTTTATATTGTGGGGGAAATGGATCATAATAGTTTTTCATGGTTGTGGCTAAATGCTCTCTGAGAGTTCATAACCTGCAGGTGAATTATTCATCAAATCTAACCCAAATGTTGTTAGTAAGAAAGAATTTGACTCCATTAGAGGGGATGGTGCTTCAACTGTTTTCTAGTCATTAAGGCAAAATGCCTCTCCTAGGACACAGAACTGTTCTCTAGTGACCTAAAGAGTATGATTTTTATTGAACCTATAAAAAGTGGATATTTCCCCCGTTTCTGAATGGACTCACTTATATTAAAGTCAGGCGTAATTTGTTTATGAAATTTGCACATAGTTAGTGCTATGGGACTACTAGTTATTATTTCTAATGAGCAATAATTTTCCCAGCAAGAAACAGAAAAATAAGCAGGGATTAAATGCCCTCCTACACATTATTTTATTTAATAAAAATCCTGCCATTTAGAATGTTGGTTTTTATATAGAAAGAAATGTTTAAACTCAAATTATACTACTGACAACAAAAATAGATGATGTCTTTATGAAGACAACAAACGTACAAATTAGTATGTGTATTACAGCAAAAAAGAAAATTCTAGTTCAGTTAAAAATTGGGTCACAATAGGTGAGGCATGGTGGTTCACGCCTGTAATCCCAGCACTTTGGGAGGCCAAGGCAGGCGGATCACGAGGTCAGGAGTTCAAGACCAGCCTGACCAAACATGGTGAAACCCCATCTCTACTTAAAATACAAAAAAAGAAAAACTGGCCAGGCATGGTGGTGCACGCCTGTAATCCCAGCTACTTGGGAGGCTGAGACAGGAGAATTGCTTGAACCCAGGAGGTGGAGGTCGCAGTGAGCCAAGATCACGCCACTGCCCTCCAGCCTGAGCGACAGTGTGAGACTCCATCTTGGAAAAAAAAAAAAATGAGTCCACATATACAGGGATCAGGGACAGTGGAAGGAAAAAAAAATCATATGATGCCTAGAATTACATTTTGTTGCCTGTTCAAATCTCTCTAAGAGAAACCTGGTACTCATTTTCTAGAACTATTTTCAATTGACCATCATCATTCAGTGTACTTTGTGGCTTTTAGTGTAGAGGGCTTGATGTGCTCTGCATTGACATTAGAATCTTAAAGATCCTTTTTGTGAAAATGGGGCTTTTTGTTCTCATTTTCTAGGGCTGAATTCTCAGTGCAAATTGGGGATCTGGGTAATAATATACTATTGCATTGTCTCACTCAATAGTTTTATTATTTTATTTGGTGTCCTGCTAAAAGCACAGGTCACTGCATTTATTATGTATTTCTTTAATACTGAATTTTATGTTTACAGGTTTACTCTTTTCAAATAATTATATTGCTTGTAGGTCGTGTCTACATGACAAGAAAACAATTTTTTTTAGGGAAAGAGTGAACTAATAAATGTGGGTGTGGGTGTTAGTTTCTCAATGTGGAAATTGGTTCTGCCTTGCAAAATATTTCATCAGAATGTCTGTTTCAAATAGGTTTGCTCAGTCCCATTGAAGGGAGCCTCATCAAAGCCTCATGACTGGCTGTCAGTGGGAGACACCTGGTCGGTTGTCACCATGCCTTACCTCAAGTATACCCTCCATGTAGACAGATAACTTGGAGGGCGAAAATATTTGGGGCCAAATAATACAGTACAGTTTGGGAACTCTGGCCTCGTGTAGACACGACCATACATAACAGGGTAAGATGAACTAGTCAAGAAAGGTTGTAAGAAGCTTTTTGGAGCATATGTACAATGACTAGTAATTTGAGGCAACAGAGGAATGAGTGGAAACAACTAATGAAAAGGAAAAGATAAAATTCTAAGCATTTGGTTCCATCACTTAGTTACTGGTGTCCCAGATCAATGGTTCCTCTCCTTTGACCCCAGCTACTGAAAAGTAGGTGACTCCTCTAGATGAAGCAAGAATTTTAAGCAGGAATATAGGGTTAGGGGAGAGAGATTTGAATCAGCAAATGTTTGAAGGTCCCTTCCTATCCCAGATAACAAAAAGCGAACTGATGTATTTTTCATTGCTATGACACTTCCCTTCTTAATTGATCTTCATATAACCTCTGTTTGTGTACAGTTCCCTAGGTGTCTTTCATTTTTCAAAGCAATTTCAATGTACATTCAATAGCTTCTCATTTAATTCCAAGAAATTAAATTACCTTAGAGTATTGCTTGGGGTCATCAGATCCTAGAAGCTCTTTCTTTTGTTTTCTCCAAGTCGCATTTCTTTCTTTCAGCTGAGTTACTTAGCTATTCAGGCTATATCTTTCATAAAACTTCCCAGCTACTCAACAAGGTGAATTCGGGGTACTGAAGCACAGACTTATTATGTGAAACCAGTTTCGACATAGCTGTGCTACTTAACATTCTGTCCAAAGGCAGACTGCACCAGAGAAATAATGTGCTTCTTTCCCTGTGAAATTTAATTGAGTCATTTGAACCCTGAAAATCAAATAGTTACACAAGAAATTATGAGATTTCTGTCCATTCCACATAAAAGACAATTGCCTAGAGACTTGGACGTTAGATAAGCTTAACAGTTCAACATAATGTTGGTGAAAGATCTAAGTGTTGACCTTGAAGAGGCAGCTCCAAGAACTACCCTAGATAAAAGATGCTTGTTTCCTCTTTTAGTTTAACCACAAGGCCCATGCTTTCACTGCAGAGCCACACTATGACAGGGAATTTAAAACATGAACCCATATGTCTGAGACTGCTTCTGTTCTATAGAAGCTGAGAGAGCACTAGACTGGAGGAATTTTAAACCTTAGGGAATTTTCCAAGTGCTAGATTGAGATGTTCAGTGTCTTTTTCAGTTTTGGCATGGTGACAATGGAAAATCTCTATATGAAATAATAATGGATCCATAACAAATATGATTGGTAGACAAGCACACCATCAGGAGTATAATAATCTTTCAGCTTCAGTCAATGAAACTTTGATGCTAAAACTCATTACTTTGATAATATTGCCCTCAGAATAGAATAGCTGCCTGCTGTTAATGTTCAGTAATATTTGGCTTAGAAAAAGTGTGCTAAGTTAACTTTTTTTTCCAAAATGAGAAATTTTTTTTCCAAAATGAGAAAACTACTTAAAGGGGCCAAATGCTGTCAATGATTACATTTCCATTGTAGACTGAAGAAGGAGATTGTACAGGTGGAAACAATTTGATGAGAGGGTATCTAAAATTTTACATTTAAATTTTTAAAAAGTTTTATAGGAAAAAAATTATCTATCAGTCACTTAAATGCAAATGCCACCAGAGTGTTCTGTAGGTATTTGAATATATTAGATAATTCACATTAATAAATCAATAAATTATAATTGCTTTAATATTACTATGAAATTTCTTTAGTTTAAAATATAATTTTTAAGAAACAAAAAATAGAATATTTGGATCCACATAAAATGTATTTGATTGATTTAACTGAATTAATAAGTAAGTTCAATCAAGCCTATGGTCAGCTCAAATGACATTTACCAGCTGTTTTTTCTGAGTTGCTGTAATTATGCCTACAGACTGAGCAATAAAGGAGACTGATTTTGGCTTTAACATTGCAATGCATTAGCTTAAGACAGAATTAGAAACTAATACTTGTCTTTCACAAGTGATGATCTCACAATGTGAAAGAGAACAAAGATCTGCAGCTGGTAAAATTTAAGATCTCACTGTTTAAATGGCTAGATTACCACAGATGAATAATACTTGTCCAAAGTCACTACTATCACGATGTATAAGAGACAGAATTTATGACGTTGAGTTAGCAGCAGATGTAAAACAGAATGTATCTTCTTTGCTTTTTGTCTTTTCTGTAGTTTTGGATGGTACTCATTATGTGCATAACTAACACTGTTTACTGTATGCTTCTGTCTGATCAAGTGCATGTTTTTTTAAAAAGTTACTGTTTGCCTGCCTAAAGTTAAATGTTATAAATTTAAACCTGTTCATGTAATTTATCAGTTTGTTGAGCATGTGTTCACACCCTGTCACATGATTATTTCCTCTACTCAGAATGCTGCTTACAAACACAATACAGTTAACCTTGGCATGCTGCCCTATGGAGGTATTTCAGCAATGCATGCAGGCAGAAGCATGACTTTAAACTTGCAGACTAAGTCTAAATTTGATCATCAAGAACTACCTCTTCAGAAAGTAAGTATGGACTGCCCTACATGTGTCAGCATACCAAAGCCAATTAATGTTGTTTGTTCACTTAATGTGTTTAGGCTGTACATACAACCCTGCTTACTATAGGCTCCTATGAGTCCAAAAAGCACAAGGGCAAATAATGTAGAGCCTGAACTCTTAGCCGCTAAATGAATATTTGTAGCTGGACTGATTATCAGGTTCCTGCTTTTTGGATTGAGCTTTGCTTTTTGGATTGAGCAGGTACATGGCTTTTTGTGTTGCTTCAAGGTTCATTTTTCTTATTATTCATTTCCTTTTTTCCTCCTTTGTTTTTCTTTATTTTGTGTTTATATATATATATGTTTTTTACTTTTTTGGAGATAGTCCTATCGTCTCCTGGTGATGCATTCTGAGAACAGAGCTCAAAATTATTATTGGATTTCAATTGATTCTTTTGGAAAAGACATAGAATCCTAAATTAGGAGGAGAATTAAGTAGCTGGTACTTATAAGTGCTTCTTCAGCCCATTTTTTTGCAGGAAATATAACCCAAAAGAAAAATATGAGAAACAAGTTTGTGGCTTAGGAAACTAGGTTAGTGGAAAAGTAGCAAGTTTGCATGGTATTAGATGAAAATGTAGGAACACTGAAAGGGAATATACTGAAAGAGGAAACATTTCCATTGTTAAAGGAACATTTCTGTTTGTTTAACTCAGCCAAAACTGAGAATGCACATTTTACTTGTAGATTAATTAATGCCTTCTGTCTTAGTTACATTTTAGTGGAAACCAATGAGTCATTTTCACAGTGTGTCATTATGCCTATATATTTATATAGTCATTAGCTTAGTAAGTTTTTATGAAAAAAGCAATGCAAAGTAGGGATAACAGAGTGACAGTAACTTCTAAACACTTCTCTCTTAATAAAATGAATGAACTTTATGACTCACCCCATCAAAATGAGGGTCATAAGACCTCAAATTCCTGTTTTATTGTTAATCTAGTTTTTTAATAACATTCCCAAACTGTGGATAGTTTGGTTCATACTGTGAGTAGAATAACAAAATCAAGAAGACATTTATAGCCACAGCTTTTTTATCACTCACCATAACTTAAAAAAACAAAAAACAAAAAAAACACTAAATTGAAAACTTTTGAATGCTGTTTTTGCTGTGCCTGGTCTATACTGCAGGACCAGTGGAGTGCTGGTAACAAATCAAGGACAAGGCCTTGATTTGTGGTGTCTGCCAATGTCAGCAATATAAATACTCTCCCTATGGCTAATTTCAAGGTACCAACTTAATGTCACTGAACTTAGAATTGGGAAGATTCACATGCAGTTGACTCTCATGAGCCAGTACAAATTGGCTCCAACACACCATCAGCATGACTAGTTTTACTTCATTTCCTACTTTAATGGAACCTATTTTTCATGTCCTCTCAGAGGCCCAAGACTCTCATCCTCTTCCCTAACAAAACCAGTTTTCAAAAAGACCTTGAAACTTAATGGCATTAAGGAATAGATAAGATATCACAATTTTAAATAGGGACCTTTCTTATAGGGCTTGCCAATTAAATAGAAATCAAACCTTGTATTAGTCTGCTGTCACACTGCTAATGAAGACATACCCAAGACTGGGTAATTTACAAAGGAAAGAGGTTTAATTGACTTACAGTTTCACATGGCTAGGGAGGCCTCACTATCATGGTGGAAAGCGAAGGAGGAGCAAAGTCACATCTTACATGGCAGCAGGCAAGAGAGCTTGTACAGGGGAACTCCCATTTATAAAACCATCAGATCTCATGAGACTTCTTCACTACCACCAGAACAGTATGGAGGAAACTGCCCCCATGATTCAGTTGTCTCCACCTGGTCCCACCCTTGACACATATGGATTATTACAATTCAAGGTGATAGTTGGGTGGGAATACAGCCAAACCATATCAAACATTTAAACTAAAAAATGGAATTTCAAAATTCAGTGAACAAACTAAAGAGATCTTAGTATGATGGAAGCTATTGCTTGAACCCCCCTGAAGTTATATCATATGAAGATGCCCCTATTTTGCTAAATTTTTGACCATATTTACTTATCAATCTGTATGACAATATAGATATATACAGTGTCTGAAAAATGCCAATACACTTGAAACAGTGTTTCCTAACATCTAAATTACTCTCCAGATATAAATTAGGTATCACTGTATTAGCATATTAATTTTCTGATGTCATTTGGGGTACCCTAGAGAATGGACTCATGCGAGCTCTAAGAAGAAATAATGCAGAGTTATATTTGGGGACTTTCAATAATCCTCAGTTGAGCACATAGGTGACCAAAACGAATTTTCTTTGGAAGCCACATTAATTGCAAATCAAGAATCGTTAAAGTATTAAAAGACTCCACCTCAAAATAAATTATCATCAATATTTTATTATCTGCACCAAAAAGAAGAAAAATAGAGAAGGCAAGGGAGGAAAAAGATACATAGGCAGGGCGAGTAATGCATTACTCCAAAAGATTTTATGATCCAAAACTTACCACTTTAAGTCCTATAAACTTCAAGAATTTAGGCATCTGGGACAACTTTCCCACCCTGTCACCAATGCAGGAACCTTATCAGGCACTGGATAGTTAATGGGCTGCAATAATAGCTCTGGGCTCTGCTTCCTCCCATGAATTCCAGTCTAAGCCTCTGTCCCTTCGCTTTTGTACCCTCATACGTCTCTTGTACAGAGCTTTCATTTGAAAATTTGTTAGGTTTTTCTGCCACACTCTAGAATCAGCCTCTCTTTAAAATGCAGTCTCTCCAATTATTCCTTCTGGACTCCACTGACCATTGCTAACAGGTCCCATGATTGAGGTTCAATCTCCCTGAACCCTTCTCCCCAGGAGAGGAGATAGGCAAAAATTACTTAACTTTGATTTAGAAATGCATAAAAATCTGTTATAACATGTTTGTCTTTCTACTTAAGATAATAAAAATTACCATCTCAGATCCTTAAGACTTCTTTGCAGCCCCTAAATACTCATTAACCATAAGAATTTCACTAAAATGTAGGGTAAGACCAATTTATAAACAAACATTTTCATTAAATAAAATTGACATAACTATTTCTTCTCCTGTGGAAATTCTGGAGCTGTCTCTTTTATTCATAAAATTCTTGTACGATAATACTGGCTATCTCTAGTTAGATGCTGTGGCAAATGACTTTGGGGTGTCCTAGAAAGAATGAAGGAAGTTTCCTAAGGAATCTAAATTACTGTTTTCACCTGTTGGAAGTTAAGCACTGGAGATGGAGTTGTAGTATCCATTGTGCAGGTGCTGCTCTCCGAAGGAAACATGTATCCCCACCCTGTTTGCCAAGGCTTGCCTCTTGCAACTAGGAGAAAGAATAAACTTTTTTATATTTCCTGTCCTGCACCAAGGCAATCTTTAAACAAATTTGTAATAAACTAATCAAAGGATATAATTATTTATGAATGAAGCTTGAAGAACTCTGCACTTGATAAACTATTTACATTGTGAATATTTATATGAACAAAAAGGGAACCCTCTTCAAGATTTTGCAATGTATTTTAAATATTTTCCATTTTTTCATATTTATTACATGTCAGATCAAGTATGGTACATTTTTCATGGATTACAAGCTACATATAGGCTGTCTATACTATAAAGAGTAAATTACGTCTTCTATAATTTTATAGAACTCTTTAAGATATTAAGAAAATGCCAACAAATATAACAAAATTTGTTTAATAAATTTAATTTCCTTAATATATTCATTTATTTAGATGCTTATGCTAATTTCCCAGAAAATTTAGTAATACTTAGGAACCAGAACATTTAGAACATATAAATCTTTTATTAAATTACAGAATTATTAGTATTCTATTTATTTTTATTCATTCATTCAGTCATTCATTTATTCATTTATCATTTATTTACTGCCTTTCCAAAAAGCATATAAGGCAACTTTCTATGATGTTATTAATGGTTCCATGTGCTTCTTTGGATGTATTTTATTTGTAATTAAGCTTAGCTATTGCCTTGAAATTTTATGTTATCGTAGAGAAATACAAATTGTAAAATGTCAGTTCAAACTACCATTTTTAATATTAAAATTAATGGTAGAATGGATACATAGTTCCACTGGGAGAAAAATAAAGACAAGGATTTATTGAGAATCTACTATGTACCTGGTGCTATGAGGTACTTTAACTATATTTTGTCTTGCAACCCATAAAACCCTTAAAGGGCATATTTATCTCGATTGTGTAGATGAGGAAACTGAGGCTCATGTGTCACACAAAATAACTCACCTGTATTGTCACTGTTTCACTGTTGTAACTCCTGCACTTAGCATAGTAGTAGGTAGAATTTAAATCTGCTTCTGCCTGGTGCCTACATACATACTTTTTCTACTCTATGATGATGCCTTCTCAAATGTTTGTAAAACCTAACATTTTCATAGAACATGACTCATAGATTAAAAACCTCTTACCTATGCATTATTACCTCACATAACCTTCAAAACAATCTAGAGAAGTATATATTATAGGATGGAGAAAAGAATACACAAGTAGAATATATTGACTAATCCAAAACATATCATGACCCCAATCATGCCCTGTGTGCTACAGGTTAGTGCTTTCTTAGTTAACTGAGCTTAATGAATGCTAGTAATTACCTTGTGCTCTTTCAGATCCACTTACATTTCCTGAGCACTCAGTATCACCAAGAATTATTTTCGGTAGCAATGAAAATCTAAAGGTTATGGACCCAAGAAAATAACTTATTAATCATCCAGGCTACTGTAGCCCTAGACACAAGCAGGGCTGGGGAGGAAATCCTTGGCCTTTCCTACTTCCATGTCCACAAGTGGCCAGCTGCTAATATAAATAGTGTGGTCTCTTCTATAATGGAGACATTGATAATTTTCTCTTGTTCATTTTTTAATTTCTACCACCATAACAGTATACCATAGCACCCACTGTTTACTGGCTTATTGAATTAGGCATTAATATAAATCAATTATAATTTCAGGTGAGGGAAGGCTAAAATAATATAAATATATGTAATAAATTATCATAGAATTTTGCCTGGAAGAAATTAGCCTCACTATCTGTTTTACTAAAGTTGATTGAAATTACTTAGTTGATACTCGTCTCACTAGATTTTGAGTTAGAGAAATTTAGATAGCAATATTTGCACCTAAACTATTTTTAAATGTCTACTGTCCTTTCTTTCTGTATATATGCAAATGACTCAGTATCAGATAGTACCAACATTTGGTATGCATTTATTCACCCTAGTGCCAAGGCGTATTGGCTTATTTAATGCCATTTTTTCTGCTGAAAGCAAAGCAAGATTTATGCTGCACCTCAGGGCAGCTCATGCCTATAATTTCTATTGATTCTGCTGCATTTATTATTGGCTACCTGTCCCTCAAGAAAGATTCACTTACCTTTCTAATTATGAAAAAAGCTTTCAGCCTATAAATCCAAATAAATTCTTATAGACAGTGACTAAATTTACCAAAATAATAATTTAGTACTCATGTGGAATTTCGTTATAATGGAATTCTGGTTTAAAAATTACTTGGGCATTATATTACCATCTTCAGATTGAAGCCCATGATATCACTATCATTTAGATCCAAGCTTGGCATATTTTTACCTTTGTAATACCTATTTCTTCCAAAAGATATTATGAAAGTGAATAATATAACGATAATTTCACTGGAAAAACTTTGGGGATGATTGTTTTTAACAATTTTTACTGCAGATGTTTTGAATCTGTGGTAGTGTCCTTTATGAACTATGTGCCAATTACTTAGCAAAAGAAATTCTTGTATTCTTAAAGGATATGTCCTGAGACCTTTGAAAATTGCCAAATTCTAATACGACTCTCATATAATTGTAATAATAAGTATAATTTCACAAGCATACTGTACACCCATCAGTTACCAAAGCTGCTGTACCACCTAAGCTTATTTAACTCAGTTATGTGACTACTGCACACACATATATATGTTTATACACATATATATACATAAGAACACATGCACATGCTCATACAAATGTGCAGACATATATAGATATAGAGAAAGAGGCATACATATGCATGCACATTTATGTCTCAGCAAAATTAGAAATTACTTGATCAAGTAGACACTTGGTGATCATTCATAGCAGTCAAAATTATAAATGTTAAATCCACAAATACCCACACTCATCTCTGGGCATAGCATCTGTTCAGCAAGACTTCTACTCAGAGTTATTGCATGTCTTATCAAATACAATTTCTGGTTTTTCACAAAATCACACCAACTATTTTCTGTATTATTTTGAAATATTTAAAGATGTGCAGAATTTAGAAGCTAAGGAAATAGTGCATTGTGATGATTTTCCATGTTATTATCTTTAGTTATATATGATAAGGAAAATAAAACTCATTCTTACTCCTTAAAATATCCAAAGAAAATACAAAGAATGTGGTACAAAAAATAATTGAATTAATAGCTGAACCTCAGTTCAATTATTTTCTCTGGAATAATAAATTTCAACAGTGATAGCTTCATTTTTTTTAACATTTTTTCAGTAGCTTTTTTAACCTTTAATAGAATTTTAACTGCTAAGCTACTGAATTTATATACAATAGCTATACTCCTTTGGGAAAGAATGTGCACATACTGCATAATTCTCTTTTTGGTCTGCACCACCACCACCACCACCACCACCACCACCACCACCACCACCAGCACCACCAAATGTCAATAAATTGTTTTTAATGGTTTTTCTATTTCTGCAGACTTAAGTCATCCCTAAGATGTCTCATGTAAGAAAAACAAAAAGGCCAGAGCATTCTTAAAAGGAAGTTGCTTTCAGGAAGTTCCTTTAATTTGTTACCTAGTGGAAAGTTCTTTTTAATGTGTCTGCATGTTTGTGTTCCTTTTGGCCCCTGTAATAAAGACTTGGTGTGATTTTTAATTCTAATTTTAAAAAGAAATAGATTAATTTATAAACTAGTGAAGCACCTACACCATTATGTTAGAATTTTGACTAAAAGGATTTCACATTTTTTAACACCAAAAAGAATTTTGTAATTCTGTTTCTCTGTAACAGTGACTAGGAGCCATGTCTGGGCAGTCAAAGCAAGTGTGGTGGAGGAAACACAGATAGAGGTGAAGAGGATATGGAGAAAAAGGAAACCTATGTTAAATTCTGGCCACTTCTTAAAAATCTACATTGCACAGACCTGGCTAAATGAACATATTAATTATCCCACTTCACTAGCAAACAAACTAAGTCAGAAAAGACAAATACTAAAAATTCAAAAAGAAAACACTGGCCAGTAATGCTTAACCTGAATAATTATGTTTTAAATATTAATTTTAATTTTTATTTACCATATTTTCATATCTAGAAAAAAATGTGTATGGGCACATGCAAACATATTAATCTGGAAAAGGTAAAACTAGAAAAGCAATGCTGGAAAACAGATAGTCATTGAATAGCTACCTGCTTATTTTGAAGTAACACATACTTTAAACGTGTTGTCTAGATTGAATTTTTCAAATAAACACACATCAATTCATTCCTAACTCAGGAGCTCAAATTCAGTCCCTTTTTTCTCTTTTTTTTCATACTTTTTGATAGGATTATGAAAAAAGAATTCACATAACCAAAGAACAAGAAGAAAACTGAGTTAATTTTCATTAAATCCATTAGATACTAGGAAGACTTCATCTAATGTCATAATAAATCCTATTTTAGATTTTTTCCAAGCAATGCTTTTAAAAAAATACGTGTGGTCAGAATGCAGGTAAGGAGGTTCTGTCGTTGTTTTTCAGAGGAGAACAAACTAAGACCACTAAAGGTAACCAGATGAAGCTTAGCAAACAGCCCATTTTTAACATGTTATGATAAGAATAGCCCAGTTCTCCCTTTCTAGGGTAGGAGGACAATTCCTTACACAAAGTATAGTTGCACACTCTCTAGCTGAGCTTTATCAGTAGGGATCCTTTAGAACATGTGCAGAAAATGGCATAGGAAACACTGGAGTATCATAGCTCAACCACAGAAGATTCTCTCAGGAAACCAAGCAGTACTTGTGTACCCTACACACTAGGGAAGGAAGGAACCTTTATGAAAATATATGTAAATATACCATCATACTCCCTCCACTGGAGGCTTTCTGATGGTATATGATTGCTTGCTACTACTCAGGTTAGAATATGAAATCACCCAAAATAAAGACGGGCAGGTATTAGTATTTGTTAAAAATAATAAGCAAGAAATCAGCCAAAATGAAATATTTATGAAGAGTTTAAACTTTAATATATATGATTTATGTAAATAAATAAATTTGGTAATCAAAACAGTCATGATTTACTTACACTATGATTCTAATAGCACATTTTTAATAGCATATTTTTGATGCCTCCCCAAAGCTATTTGTTGATAATGCCATAGTACCATAAATCTTGCACTATGCCAGTGTTAGCACTATTTGAGTTTAGTGCAGGGCATATTCTCCCAGAATTAATACAACCTTATAAAATTTATTTTAGGTTATGACTTGGAATATTAGAACTTACATTCTATGTATTATATGGTTTCAATTTCTATTCTAGATGGTGAGATTATACTAAAATTAAGCAAGTTTTAAGTGCTGTGGTTTTTAACAATTGTAACAATTGGTTAATTTTATTCTGATTATTTTTGTTCAGGTACTGTAAATAATCTAAATTTTTCCTTAAAATTCAGTGAACAACTCTAAGATGGTTATTTAATTGCATTTTTAATTGCTTCCAAAAAGCTTTCAATTTACAGTTCTTACCCAGTAAATAGTATATAATATTTCCAGTTCAGGATGTATGTTTTTCTGCAATTAAACAAATTTAATTTTACCATGATCATTAGGGACTCTTTTCAGAAAACTATGGTAAACTTCTGCTACATCACTAAAGAATGCCATACCATTTTTGCAATAGACCCCGTCCCAGCAAAGCAACATTTTAGACAATGGACAAGAAGATGTATCTCCTAGTGGCCAATGGAATCCTTATCCACTTGGGAGGCGGGATGTACCTCCGGACACCATTACTAAAAAGGTAACCAATTTTTAATTAATGATACAAACCATGAAGCTTGCACAATCTACTACAATATATAATCAATATTTTGTGTCTTATCATCATTTCTAAGTTTGTGATAACTTTAAGGTAAATAATATCCTACTACAGGAGTTTGGTTGACTGTAAGTACACTGAAAAGAATGGAAAATGAACGCTGCCAGCTGTTCAAAGTTGGTAATAAATGTTTATAAACAACGTCCTGCAACCTTTCTACAGATACTCTTTCCTCTTACCACTCACCTTTGAAGTGCACATATAGAATGATATGTGATATACTTCTGACTCTCTTGGCTTTAACAGTATGTTGTAACCAGTTTGCATAAAAGAAAATTTGATTCACTATTTCTAAAGTTATGACAATTGATTCAGCAAATATTTAGTGAACAACTATATGTACAACTATGTGTGGAGTACTTGCTAGATATTGAGGAAACAAAAATGAAAAAGATACAGTTTCTTACCTCAAGAGCCTTTTTATCTAGTAAGGTGTGCTGAGTGATAAGGAGGTAATTATAATATTACATAACAGATTACCACAGCAGGAGTAAAAAGAAAGCCACAACTTGGGATAAGATACTTGCTACATATATGAGAGAAGAGAGAATTTGTATTCTAAAATATATTTTTTAAAGCTCTTACAAATCAGTAATGAAGACATACAACACAGTTTTTTTAAACTGGCAAAATACAAGGGGAATCAGGTGGGTAAATAAATACTAAAACAAAACTGAACCTTTTTATCAATCAGGGAAATGCAAAAGAGATGCCATTTATGTTTACTAGACTGGCAAAAATTAAGAAATCTGAAAAATACAAGTTGTTTGTAGGTATAAGAGCAGTGGAAACTCTTTTAGACTTCTTATGGGAATATGAAACACCATCACCTTGGTTACAAATTTTCCTGCAAAGCTGAATATGCACATACCCTACATTCTATCAATTCTCCTCTTAAGGTATTAAAGTAGAAAAATTATCATACATGTCATTCAGGGTACATGAAATGTTTCCAATACCAGAAAACTGGAAAAAAACAAATGTTTACCACCAGGAGAGTATGTAAATAAATTATGTTAATCACACAAAGGAATATTTCAAAGCAATGAAAATTAGTAAACTATAATTACAATAATGTGTGTTAACTTTAGAAACATAATTTGAATGGAAAAATGTTTCAGGAGATGGCATAAATATGTAATACCATATTTACAAATCCCAAAACAAGCAAAACTCAAAATATATTATTTAGGCTTAAGTACATAAGAAACCTATTATTATAAGTAAATGGTAAATATAGTATTTAGAACTGTGGTTATCTCTAAAGGTAAGGTAGGGGATGGAATCAGGGAGAAAGTGGATATTATCGTTGGAACTATTCTAATTCTAAAATTGAATTATGGTTCTTTACACTCTACTTTTTAAGCTCATGAGTGTTCATTTTATAATTGTGCTTTGTAACCTACATATGTATTACATACTTACATTCTTTATAACCTAAGTGATTTTTCCCTTGATGACTACTTCAGTGCTTTCAAACAATGCATTAAATATCAAATTTTATTTTATCCAAAATATTTGGTAATGCCACTGATTTACAGGCATTTATTTTATGCATGTTATTAATTTGACTATTGGGTAATATTCAGCATCATAGGTAAACATAATATGATGTGGTTAATGCTAAGAAGATGGGATACAGGGCTATGACACCACCTGGAAAGGGTACCTGTTTAGTGAGGAAACTAAGAGCAGTGGTGTCAAATAAGGCTAGAGGGATATGCAGGAGCCAGATGATGCTGGGATTTATCCTGTGGGAAATGAGAATGGGAATATAAAGTGTTTTAAACAGAGAAAGGACATGATCAAATTTTTATTTAAAGAGCCCTCTGACAGCTTTTCAGAGAATGAATTAGTGAGGAGAAAGACTGGAGCCAATAGAACTAGTTAAGATTCTATAGTAATTCAGGTGAAAGTAAATGGAAACAATGGGTGATGGAAAGAAATGCTGTATTAGTCCATTCTCACATTGCTATAAAGAACTACCTGAGACTGGATAATTTATACAGAAAAGAGATTTAATTGACTCACAGTTCCTCAGGCTGTATAGGAGGCATAGCTAGGAAGGCCTCAGGAAACTCACAATCATAGTGGAAGGCAAAGGGGAAGCAAGCATGTCTTCACATGATCGTAGGACAGAAAGTGAGAAGGGGGAAGTGCTATATACCTTTAAACAAACAGATCTCATAAGAACTCCATCACAAGAAGAGCAAGAGGAAAGTCCACTCCCATGATATAAACACCACCCACCAGGTCCCTCCTTCAACACATAGGGATTACAATTCGACATGACATTTGGGTGGGGACACAGAGCCAAACCATAACAAATTCATAGATCCAATATCATGATAAATGTTAGAGCCAAAACAATCTTGTGATTGGACATAGGGCATAGAGATAGATAAAAGTTGCAAGGTTGATACCCAAGCTTCTAATTTGGTCAGGGGAGTGATGATGTTCCATTCACTAAGATGGGAAATACAGAAAGAGTAATAGGTGGAAGTGGAGGAAGAGAGAAGAGTTTAGGTTTTTACATGTTGATTTGAGGTAGTTTTAAGGCATCCAAGTGGAAATGTTCAGTGGATGTTTGGATATATTTATCCTAAGTTCAGTAGAGAAATCTTAGCTGGAGATACAAATTTAGGAATCATCAGAATATGTTATTGAGCCATGAATGAGGCAGAAGGATGACACAGAACTCCATGGAACACCAACATTTAAGAGATGTACAGTACATAGGAAAAATAGGCAGAAGAGAAATAATCAAAGATTGGATCAATACAGTGATTTTACTGCAAGCTGTAGAAAATTCAAGGGAGACATTGTTGAACTTCAAGGAAACACTTCACTAAACATGAGAAGTAGTTGAGGTTTACACTATGCCTCAACTTTAGTACTTTGTTCTCCCTTATTAAATACTTAGGGATTTATTTTCCCATTCCGCTCTGCCACCACACTGTTGGCTCTATCCTAAAATTGGTTTCTCTCGTAATTATAAGATTACTACCAATGACAATTGGTAATATGAGCTTCCTCTTTCAAATCCAGCAAGAGAGAGAAGCAAGCTTCCAGTAGCTGTCTCTTATGTGCAAAACCTTCCTTCCCTGAGTCTTTCAACAAGCCTCATCTTACATCTCACTGACCCAAAATAGCTAAGGACTTCCCATCCTAGAAAAAGAAATGGAGTTTTATGATTGGCTTTGGCTGATCAGTTGGAGTAGACTAGATGGGGCTCTCAATTTCAGTGACCGCTAAGAAACATGTAAAAGGAAAAACAAGGGAAAGTGGCACCTTGGAAACAGTGAGGGAAAAAATGTTTTTAGGAGGGAATGATCAACTGTCAAATGATGCACAAAAACGTCAAGCAAGATAAGTATGACTAAAGGCTCCTTGGATTTAGCAACAAGGAGGTTATTGGTGATATCAGCAAAAGCAGTTTGCTTAAATGATGGGATGGAATCCATAGGAATCTACATTAAAGGGTAAGTAAAGAAACCTATAAAACTCAAGAAAGAAGTAATGTACTAAATGTACTGTGTCTTCTTCCTGCTATTATGATAAGCAGGTTCTGATTATCCCATATTATAGCAATTTTGCCTAAAATCTGAGATTCCTGAACCTATAAATAGATATGTCCACCTATCACCTCTCAGAGTAGAGAGAATAAGGACCACTTTAAATATTCAAATTTAGTTTATATTACATATTATATATTAGTTGAATAGTCAAGTTAATATTCAATGAGAATCAACCTAAGGAAAGAAAAATGGTCATGGGAGTATTAGCCTGGGCTGCAAAATTTGCTGAAATAGATGCGATAATTGTACTATTAGTTATTGGGTTTCTATTTGACTCTACAATGACATTTTTAAAAGTTAATATTATTTTTGCAGTTGTTATGGAGTGAGTACTTAGGCTAGACATAATGGGAATGGAAAGATAGAAAGTGAACTATAAATTGAATGGGGAATCAAAGGAGAATAAGTGGTAAAGAATTCTTAGCCAGTGTCTGATTTGAGTCTATTTCTCCAAGCCTCTGTAGATTTTTTTTTAATCTTGTTTCTCCAACTAAGCCATCAGAAAACACAGTAATACTGTAGGGATTTGGGGGGAAATTATGGAAAGTCTTTGACTGAACTTGTGGCTCTCTGTTGTGGCTATCATAGATTTTTGGTTACTCATGGCCATGCCAGCCAGCACTTCAAGCACTGCAGAGAACAAATATGGGTATCTTCCAAGCTGTGGATCCAAAACTTAGACACATAAAGTAATTGGACAAGAAGTGTTTATTTCTCAGAATTTTGCTTCTGTCCTATGCACCTGAGAGTGACAAAGTGATGGAAAAATGCCAAGAGTGTTAAATGCTCTTTTTTTTTTTTTAATGGAGTAAAATTAGGTGGTAGATGTTATTCCTTTCTTGCTATGCAGTCCCAGAGTCACAATATTTTTTTTTTTTTTTGCATAATCTTGCTCTGTCGCCCACCCTGGAGTGCAGTGGCACGATCTCGGCTCACTTCAGCCTCCCCGTCCTGGGTTCAAGTGATTATCATGCCTCACCCTCCCAAGTAGCTGGGATTGCAGGCATTCACCACCATGCCCGGCTAATTTTTGTATTTTTAGTAGAGACAGAATTTTGCCATGTTGGCCAGCCTAGTCTCAAACTCCTGACCTCAAGTGATCCGCCTGCCTTAGCTTCCCAAAGTGCTGGGATTACAGGCGAAAGCCACCATGTCCAGCCCAAAATCTCAAATTTTGATGTCTGTTAGTGTAAAAAGTTTAGGATTCACTGCTAGAAGAACATTTTATAGCTATGTAAATCCCCCACCCAAAATTCCAGGCAGTATTATATGAATACTTTAAGAACTGCTGTTTAAAAATTTTGCAATTGCTGAAAACAACCATGGTTTCAGAAGGAGAGTTTG